AAATTTTTGTCAAAAAAGTGTTAAATTTTATTATCATGTTCAAAAACTAATAAAAATGTGACAACAGAAATGGTTAAAGGAAAAAGAAAAAAAATAAGAGTGTTAAATTTTTTTTGTCAATACGGATGTAGTGTCTACCGGTGTAATTTAGTAATTTTACAGGTGCATTATTATTTTTTTCCTTTTGTTTTCTAGACGAAAAGTATAGACCGATATTTGATAAATAATTCTATTATTTTCAATAAATAAACCATAAAACTATAAAAATGCGATTGAGGATTTAAAAATTATATTCTTAAGATTTAAGCTTTAGTGCAGCAAACCTAATCTAGGTTTGTTGATATATATATTATAACAGTTTGTTTATTAAATTTTATAGCTTGATCAATACTGTTTGATAAAATAACTTTACGAGAGAAAAATAAGCGTGCTGCTGTTTTTAGATTTTTTTAATGTTGAACTGAACACACGCACATACATATGTCATTAGAAATTTTTGTTTCATTATCGTTAAAATCCGGTATAAAATTTCTTTTACTAAGGGGAAAATAAAAAAAAATAAAGTTTTTAGATAACTTCAATTTGAACCAATAAGATTTTGTTTGTTTTTTTTGACAATAATTGAGATAATAATTGTATCACAAATTTTAGAGTAAGAGAGAGTAGTTTTAGTTAGATTAGACGAGGAATAGAGGAGAAAAAATTCATCAAAAATACGAAAATTTATACAATTAGAGGAGAAATTACGAAATCAGGAAAATTAAGTACGTACATAATACGATAAAAGCTCGCTGTACAAGCTAAGGTTTCCACTCTCCGAATTTGTAATAAGTTACTAAGAATTTAATTAACAAAAAAAAAACGTTTGGTTTTTATTTCTTTATAAATGTATAAGTGAAATATGAGTTCTCCTACAAGATCAGTGACATGCAGAGTATATTAAAACATCTTGAACAGTTAACCAAACATGTGGGTGTAGATATAAATATGGACAAATCTAAATCGATAAAAATAAACTGCACTAACGCAGCGGGTCTAGGACTTAATAGCTAACAAATAGAATTGCTACTGGATACTGTATCAAAATCCGTCAGTGAAAAGTTGCAAATATTTATCAATAGATGCCTCAGAAAAATTAGCCGAATATTCTGGTCAAAATAAGAAACGAACCCTTCTAAGTAAGAACAGGCAAGAAGCCTATCGATAGACAAATAAGAAAATGCAATTAGACTTATCGGCTGCACTCTAAAACAAGCCGCTAATAATATGAGCTTGAATTGGAACGCGCAAAGTTCAAAAAGACCCGGACGCATCGAAAAACACTTGGCGTAGACATAACAATGGGTCAAGTCAAGCAAATAGCAAAAAATAAAACAAGATAGAGATGTCAAGTGGAAGCCCTATGCTCCCAAAAGGACTAAGTAAAAAAGATACCATAGAAAATAAGTGCGTAAGTAATGTGTCAAATCAATAAAAGTTCAATACAATTATTACTTTCCTGATCCTTATGCATTCTAACATAATGAACGACAAAATTTGAGCTCGCGTGCAAAATAAAAACTATATAACCGAAATACATTTTACGAAAATTTTCAACAACTTTGTCACAAAAAATATTTTGTAAGATGTCAAAAAGATCATTAATGATCACCTGCTCTTAAAAAATAAAAGGGTATACACATAAATGGATCTACCTTAATACACAATGAAGATTCTATGATGTAAGTGAGACAAGATACCCATCTATTAAAGGGATACACACATGTTTGCGGTAATTCAAGATAATTCAACTCAAACCGTTCTTTAGTTTTATATGTGCTATATAAGCACCTGTGATATTGTGACAACTCTCCAATAAGCGGTAATTCATTCATTCATATACAATGTTCGTTATTATTGTGTGCATTTAAAAAGTGAATAATGTTAAGAACAAGTGAATATTTTGTGTTTTTTTTTTTTTGGAAAATTCTTCTTATTTAATATTCAAAAAAAAAAAATTAAACATTGTAGGTATTGCACAACATTTGTTTTTTTTTTTCATTTTCATTTTGTTGTGTAAAGAACAAACCGTTTTGTTCTCTTTTATTATGCCATTATAACTCACATTAGCGCAATTTTCTATCTTTAAATCTTAAATCGTAAATTATTTTAATGTTTCTCTTTCTTGCCTGTAAATAACTTTAATATTTTTATAAAAAATGGATGGATGGACAAACAAAAGAAGGTTAAATTTTTATAACTCTTGTATGTGCTTACATTTATTTTTTGATATGGTCTCCCTTAATATTGTGTTAATCTAAAGGTCATCATATCACATCTCAAAGAATTATTGTTAATCCCAAAAAAAAAATTATTAAAATAAAGAGAATTTCATATCTAATTTCATTTATTGCTGTTAATTAACTGACGTGCTTGAATGTTAGTTATGTGAAAAAAAAGAAACAAAATAAAAAAAAATTATTTTTTATTGCTCAATTTTTCTTCTTGCACTTGTTTAGGTAAAATTTAAAGGGATTTTGTTTTGACCTGTTTACATATAACATGAATTTTTTGACCGCTTTATATAACAAAATATTTTAAAGATTTTGAAACATAGTTTCACGTATAATTGTGAATTTTAAGGTACTAAAGTATGAATAACATTTAAAAAGTCAAAAATATTGCATTGAATGCGCTATACGTTTTATAACTAAAATGATTTTGCAGAGCAAATGCTGTTATTTTAAATATGTATGTTTATATAGGTGTCTTAAAGAAATGAAATAATTTTACGTTATTTAGAGGTTTACGTTGTTACGAATTAAACTTATTTAATTTACCACATTTTTATAAGGAAATTGTAGAAGCTTTGTAGAAGAGGAGGTCTTAACGGGGTTTAATTCATGATTAACAAGAAAATTAATTGCATTGATTGCTCCAAACCACTAGGCACTTTATCGTTTTTTTCCGAAAATTTTTAATTTTTTTCTGTAGATTAAAACTAAAAATTAATTTAAGGTTGCAAAACGTTGTCTAAGTAATATTAGAAACAAAAGGTTTTAAATTAAAAATCCCAATTAAAATTATTTTCATTTCCTTTAAGGTATAAAAAATTTCATCTTCTATAAAACATCCTAAAACTGTTATTATGAGTAACAGTTACATCAATTTGCTGTTACTGAGAAGAAAGAAACTGTCATATCAAACAAACGACAATTAAACGGTAAAACTGTAGTGTCACGTACGTAGTAATTTAACTAACTTGAAAAAAATTATGTATACGCTCATTTGTATATATATATATATATACATTTATGTATATGTTATGAATGCAATCATTTAAAAACTTTATATAGAAAAAGTGCCGCCCGGAATTGGGATTAAATAATAATGATATTTGTATACATTAAATTGTAATAAATGATGACATCCTTTAAAAAAATTGAAGATTTACAATAAAAAAAAAAATTTATAGAAAATTATAGAAATATTTTGATTGAGGTGTAGTTTATACAGAACAATGTACATACTGAAATCGTTCTCTATAGGGCATGTATAGAAAGTTGTAGCTACACATGCGTACAATTAATTTTATATGTGGAACTTCTATGACAATTAAACTTTTCAATCTACTATATTCAACTATAGAACTAAACAGATACACGAGTAAATCGTAAAAATATTTTTAAAATTTTACAATGTTATAAGTGAGAAAAAATGAATTGTAACCGTTATGTTATGTTCAATCATTTGAGCCAAATAAAAAGAAGTAAAATGTTCTCCATAACAAAGTTTATAATATGTATATGTATATACTTTTCAAATTCACTGGGGTGTAGCTGTAAAGTATATTAACATATTATTTTTATAAGAACACTGTTTAAGGTTTTTCAATGCTGATAAATCGAAGAGAGCTTTTAAATATTCTGTAGATTGTTGAATTTCTTGATTACATTACACGCGGTAGATTGCTGCGAAGCAAATCTTGAAGAAAAACAGAAATTGACCAAGCAAGTACAAATTAATCAAAATTTAAACTTTTTGCGCCGTACATGTATAGAAAACGCAATTTCATAAATTAAACATAGATCCGGATGTTTTATGATTTCGGTTTCAGCTGGTTCACACATAAGATGAAGCAGTGGGGCTCATTTAAGTTAAGCTAATTATGATAGTACAAAATGGATTTTATGTTGAGTCTTGCCTCATTTAAAAATACAATTTTTATTGCATTTATTTTTATTGAAAGTAAATTAATTTGATAAAGCATTACATACCTATATAAATACAAAGCAAGATTCTCCGCATACAAAGCAAGATTCTCCACAAAAAAATAATTGTATAACGACTTGGAAAACATCTTGAATTCTTTTCAAAATTTCTGTTCAATTAATATTATCACATTATTCATTAATCCTCATTTCATATAAGGACATTGAATAATATGAATATTTTTAACAATTTAACGAGAGATATTAAAATAATTTATGTAATAAAAATAAAATCGCCAAAGATCACAAGACCAAATGTTCTTAAAGTTTCCAGTTCTGACTGTGATGGATCTTGTTAGTTAAAACTACTAAAGCAGTGCTTCCAACAGAACTCAAGCATAATCTTAATAATGTCTCTACTCTTTTAATAATAAGTTCTCTACTAATTGAGATTATGACTATAAAAGCAGAAAAAAATTTTATGCTGCCGATTTGACAGAAGATCTTTTGGAGTTCTGTCGACAAAAACGGAGTGCTTTTCGCAGCAAGCTATACAAAAAAATGCTAGCGTTGCAGATCATTGTTAAAACTACAAACGCGAATTCAACCATTTTGCAACTTCAAAAATGATATACGCAAACGGTATATGCTATATAGCGCTTTTCTATGAAATTATTTATAATTTATAAAATTTTAACAATTTTGAAATGATAGAGTTTAGTTTAGCACTAGGCCAGCAGAAGGCACATCGGCGTCCCTTTATAGCTCTCACCAGCCCCCTAAATACCTTGAAAAAGCCCAGAAAATCACTTAGAACACCTCTGAGAGCTTCTCCAATCCGTCGAACCGATATCCTCCCGAAAAGCGCTCCCTGCTCCGCAAAAGAGTAGGGCATTCGGACAGGACATGATGCACATCCTCCATCACCGCAACGTCTTGGCATTCTCGGCAAGTATTCGATAAGGAACTGCCCAGTCTCTTAGCTATCTTTCCCAATAAACAGTGTCCCGTCAGGATGCCCACCGCAATCCTGAGATCTCCGCTGCTCAAAGCCAGTAGCAAAACGATAGTGTTACGTTTTTTGTAATGAGACCTGAAGGTATACATTTATTTTATATTAAATATTTGATAAATACATTAAATAAAATGTTTAAATTAAAAATGGAATAAATTTGGTAACAATAGTGTATAACAATAGTTATGAATTAAGTGAATTTTTCTATTTTAAATTAATTTTTGATATTTTTTTTGTTATACATAAAAAATTTTCAATGTGGTAGCAGGTTAAAAGTGATACAAATTCAAAAATAACAAATAAAATTAAAAATTAAAAAATTTAATTACACTTTTTTTAAGGTATTTTATACGTTAACAGCAGTGATTTTAGTGAAGTATTTTAAATTACTATGATAAAACGGCTAATGATGTGCAATTAACTTCCATTTACGTGCGTTTTTTTTATGATTCTGATGAATATGAAAAAAGACTGAGATGAATAATTTTTTATTTTTTAACCTTTTTTTAAAATTTCAAAGTAATTAAAATTTTTAATTTTTTTTTTCAGTATGCTCTAATTAGTTTTATTATGCTCGTACCTTAATGATGAGAAACTGTTAAAATGGATGAAAAAGGAAACATTTTGTTTTTTCTTTCTATTTTTTCTAAGATATTTAATAAGAATATTATGAATTTGTATTTAATAAGAAATTTTTAAAAATTTCTTTTTTTTTGGTTATTCTTATATAAAATTTCCATTATTCTTATATAGGAGGAGTTGAGGGAGGGACATGCTATACAATACAATACTCAACAATTTTGCTTATACTAATTCATTTTAAGAAAGAGATGTACAAAAATTTAAAAGAACCTTTAAAGTGTATAAGTTTTATGGCGATTTATTGTGCAGTGGGGGTTTAAAGTTTCAAACGCTTTGCAATATTATAACGTTGTAGCTAGGGTTAAAATAATTTCAACACTGTAACCAGGCTGATTTCGTTTATACAACTCTTAAAAATAATCTAAAAATATTAATTAAAGAAATTTTTGTAAAATTATTCAAAGGAAATACTGTTTACGACCGTACGTATGTTCGAAGGGTATACTAAATTCGCCTGCTTCGGCATATTTACTCGCACATAGGACAAAAATCTATCGTACTGGTTTCACAGAGTTAACATGGTCAAATTTATTTTTTCTCGTTTTAGGTTATTTCTTTTATATTTTTGCTTTTCTTGACTCCAAAGATTTTTAACTTTAAGAATGTTGATTGTTGATGGTAATTTTAGAAGACGAAGCTTATCAAAATTTTAAATTAAAGCTAATTTAGGGGGGTTTTCTTTTATGCACGCTGCGTAAAAGTTTTACATTAGAATTAAAATTTTCAAGTCGCAGCGTTAAACAGTATGCAAAAACTTTAGCTAAGTTTGTTTTTGTTCGAAAATAACAGAAATGATATTGTTTATGAAATTGTGTTCTAATACTTTTCGCCTTCCAATTCATTGCAAAATAAAGAAATTTTAACAAGATTTGAAGGCTTAAAGAAAACTTACTTTGATAACCCTTCAATATCTGAATCTGCCATCTTGAAATTTAAAGTTTTTTTTGAGATGATGCTTTATCAACCACTATTTTTAACATAAAACTGCATTATGCAATACATGAGCTAGATCGAGGTAGACACATATTTATAAGACCGACAATGGTTTTTGCGTATGCAGATGATATTGCAATTGTGGTCAGCTCTTTTAATGAAATGAAAGAAATGTTTTTAATATTAGAGATTACAATTTTGTAGGTGTAAGAACTTTTACATACCTGGGTGCCTTAATAAATAACAAAAATGATATGCACGTAGCAATTAATGAGAGAATTGGCACAAAATTGACAAGCGGCACAAAAATGCTATTTTACATACAAGTGGCTTCTCCAATCCAGGCTAATAGACAGGTCAATAAAAATTAGAATGTACAAGACGTTAATTCGGTCTGTACTAACATAGAACTGCGAAACATGGACCATGACAACAAGGGACGATGAAAAGTTAAAAATATTCGAAAGAAGACTGCTCCGAGAAATATTTGGTCAAAATTAAATGAAAACGGGCAATATGAAATAAGATCAAATCGAGAGCTAGAAGAACTAATTGCATAATGCAGTTGCATAAATCGAGAGCATCGGGCGCAGAAAAGAATTCTAGACGCAAGACCATACAAGACAAGGGCAAGCGGCAGACATAGATCTAGATGGCTCGATGACATAAAGACCGATTGTAGAAGAATTGGGTTCCATAACTGGAGGGCAGCTGCCCAGAACCGTGAAGTTTGGCGGAAAATTGTGAATAAGGTCAAGGCTCACCCGGAGCTGTAGAACCAAAAGATGATGATGATGATGAGTTTCCGCACGCACTTTATTGCAGCCAGCAATTTTTAAACGGTCTATATTCTCAGTGTATGAAGCGAAAATTTTCGAACATATAACAAGCTAGAACTATTCTAGAACTGAATAAGCGAAAACCCCTATTAAATATTTTTGTGTATTTCCGACGGAAATAGATTTTTTAACGTATTAAAAATATTTCACTATGATTCTGATTTTTTATCAAGACACAAGAATTATAATCCATTATAGTTACATAAAATACAATATCTACGAGTATTATTTAATAATGTTAGTGAAACTTTTCAGAAAAGTCCCATATTTCCCTGACAATCCATTGTAACTGAATTCAATTTATTTAATATATAGAGTTTTCAATTCAAATTCATCTCAATAATCTTACCTTATACCTTGTTACCTTATGTTCGCACTCACACACATGTACCTATATATAAACAAGATAAATGTTGTTGTAATAAATGTGTGTAAAATTAGATAATTTTTTTTCTTTATCTTTTATTTGTAAGAATTCGGGGGAATATGAAAAAAGTGATCCCAATAAATTAAAAAAGAAATTTAGTTTTAAAAAAATTTCTCATTTGTTTTTCTTTACAAGTCAAATACTGTCATGTTCTTTAGGATATTAAGCAACTCATAACACTTTTCTTCTAAATATTTTATGAAATTTAATATGCATGTATGTTGATCGGTTGTTTTGACCGAAATGTAAAGAAAAAAACCAGAGGAAAAAAATAAACAGTTAAAATAGCAAAAAAAAGAAGCTATAGTCGTTAATTTCAACAGGTGAATGTTATAAAAATCATGTACAAAAATTTAAATTAAGCAAAATCTTTTGATTTTGAAAAAATTCAACAGCTTAAGATGGTTTTTAAAGGGACTTTTATGTATAAAAATAAAGATAACATGAAAAAGTCGTAAAAAAGCGTGTACTGTTCAAATACTGTTGAAGTTTATCGAAGTGAAGTTGTGTAAAACCTTAATGTGTATCTGATAATGTGTTAAAATAATAAAAAGAGAAAAGTTGAACTTTAATTTTTTTACCTGAATTATTACATAAAATTTGACATTTGCAAAAAGTCTAATGCGATCATAGTGAAATTATTAAACTAAAAATGCGAAATATGAACTATAGAACCTTGTTTTTTATATCAATGGGTATGATGCGAAGTCCCGTTTACATCATTAGTCATTACATGAATTGCCTGGGTCGAGTTTAATGTAGTTATAACATAATATTAAAATAATTAAAATTTGATTCCTTTATAGTTAATTTAGTCGTATTCCTTAATACGACTATTTTACTGAAAGTTGCTTGAAATACGCCAGTTAGATGCCGTTTGTGTTTGTATTTTCTTGTTTTTGTGAAATGCATAATTTCTTCTTATCGACATGCTTACTGAACCCCCTACACCAGAAAATTTTAAATCTATAATACAAACGCACAATTAAACTTTTTTTACAAAGGATTAATTTTAAGCCTATATGTTTATTTGTCTATACATATTTCTATGTCTTCGAAAATTTCAGGGTTTATTTAAAAACAAATTCAAATAAGTTTACCAAATTTTCAAAATATTTTATAATTATGTTCAGAAACTCATTTAATTTCAAACGGATCAAATCCGGAAACGGAGGGGCTCAGAAGCAAAGTAGTTTAACTCTCATTCAAAATTTTTGCCACAATATGTGGATTAGGTCACTTTTGCATTAAATCTGGAATCTAATTTTATACATACATTTCTAATAAAAATGCAATAATTTTGGCAGTGAGTGTAAGGCCATTCTGCTTCTAAACCCCTCAAATTTGGCTTAAATTATAAGTTTATTGTGTGAATCACTATAATTTCTACTATAATGCTCCTACAATATTTTAATTATGTTTTATTAAACAGTTAACGTTGCAGCATTCAAATTTCATAAAAACCATCATAGGATAATTATTTGCCGATTTTTGTAGTTTAGACTAATTGAATCAGGTCGAGAACATTTCTGATTAAGCTTTATATTTTAGTTGAATTAAAAAAAAGGTCAATACAAATAATACGTATGTTTATTATAAAACCTTGATCTCCAAAATGCAATAAAACGGTATTAATACACAATTCAGCTTATAAATGTGAATTGCTGAATTGTATATTAATTCTGCATTACTGCATTTTGAAAGTCAGGTAAAGTGTATATTAAGTAAAATGAAATTTATTTAATTTAAACTAAATTTTAATATTTTTATTTTGCCATTTTTTACATTTGTTCTTTTTTTTTTACAATTAATAATACTTCTAAAAAATTTTTATTTTTTTTTTAATCGTTTTTGTCTAATATAATTTTTCAATTATTTTTATTTTAGTTTGAATTAGATTAAAATGCTAATGAAACTTTTACAAAGGAATTCATTTTGAAATGAAATCAAATTTTTAATTCAAAATTTTAAAATTTAATCGGTTCTTTACAGATTCCTGTTTGCCACAGTTCTTACAGACAAAAAAAAACTGCCAACTTAAAGTACAGCATTCATAAATTTTTATTTATAAATTTGATACAATTTCAAAAACAATTTCTGAAACTAAAGGAAATAATTAAAAAACAAAAATAAAATAATAATTTTTAATATTCTCTTTTTGTTTATTATTTTTTTTTTATATTTATAAAATTTTTCTAAATAATTTTTATTTTAATTATTTTATTAATTTTTTTACTTTTATTTAATTTAATAAGTTTTTTTTTATTTCCAAAATTTATTTTTAAATTTATTTTTTTTTTCTTTTACTAAAATTTGGTTACGTGCTCTTAAAACAATTGTTATTTATTTTTAATTTAAATTTTAATATTATTCATTAAAATTAATATTTGTACAATTTAAAAAAAAAAATTGTTTTTAATAAAATTATAGTGTTTTAGTTTGTCTTTAGAAATTAAAAAAAATATAAATGAAATGCAATATAAAAATAAATAAATTATTTGATTATTTTAATTAATTTTTTGATTAAATGTAGCAAATGTATTTTTAATACTATTCAAATATTGTCTAATTAATTAACAATTAACAGTGACTACTCTTATAAGAATTAATAAAATGCAATTATTGTTCTTTAAAATACTAAAACATAAAAAGAAACTAAAATATATTTGCCATTGATGAAACGCATACCATATCATGCACAGTCGATTTATAGAAAATTCCAATTAAAATAGAAAAAAAACTGCAATACTATAAGCTTAACCCAATAATATAATAATTCGTTTGAAGGCCTTCGATTCATCTCGTTTTACAAAATATGTCACGGTATTGAGCATCAATGAATTATCAATTATTAATTAACTATCTGAAACACAATATTTTTGCGATTTGCTTGAAATATGCAATATAATTTTTGAAATAATTGCAGTCTTCTGAAACTAAACACTTAATATATAAATGCTCTTATGGTTGTGCAGCATTAAAAAATAACAAGTGATAAATTAATTGAATTTTAATTTACTTCGCTAACATAGATCTTAAAATTTAAATGAATGTAAGTTGTTTTTAAAAAGTATGACATGTTGTGTATTGCAAGAAATTTTTTGTCATTTTTGCACCACTCAAATCAAATTTAAGAAAATGTATGAATACTTTCACAATTAGACCACCTTCTTCAAATTGAATCAATTAAATTTTAGGTAAGATTATTCAAAATATTGTAACATCTCGAATTTTTTGCTAACCAATAACAACGGCCTTAACTTAGCATCCATGTAAAAATTTTTAATGCTAGAATTGTAATTTTAATGCTTTTCAAGGAATTTGAATGGTAATATAATTTCAATTAATTTTGTATTTAAAACTTAATTTAAAACATAAAATTGAAGTCGATACCCTTAGGCTTGTAAAATAATTTTACATTCATTAATTTAAAAATTAAAATGCCAAGCTTCGATTATTAAATTTATTTGTTATCACTTGCTTCCTTAAAAACTCAAAATTCTAAAATATGAACTGAAAAATTGAAAACTTCAAATTATTATTAATTTTTTTTTTACTTTTAATATTTAATTATTTTTAATTTTCTTTTTTTTTTAATATAATCTAAATTGTGTCTTTGGTTTACTTGCTGTCTTGCTAATAAAATATATTTATTATATTTTTTTTTTTGGTTGTTATTACATTAGTTTATCTTAAGTACTAGATTCACGTTGTAGTTTTTTTTTTTTAATTTTGATTTTTTTAATATTTTATGTACAAAAAAATTTAAACAATTTCATTTTTATTTTATACTTATTTTTTAAAATAAAAATTCTAACAAGCATTTTATAACAGTTTTTTTTTCTTTGCCTGAACAAAATATTTTTATTTATCAACTCTTTTTTTTTTTAAATAAAAATATTTTAATAATTCACCTAAACTATAAATATAACAATAATAATAATGAAAGTATGCGCGTTTACCATAATTTAAATAAAACGTCAAATTGACTTACTCAGTAGTACAGTTTTAATTATTGAATAAGTCAAATTGATGTTTGATGTGCATTTCGGTAAACGACCTATATATTTGTTTTAATTTTAATAATTTTAAAAAAATAAATTTTATTCTTAACTTAAATTAGAAGTAGAAGAAAATATAATAGTTTGTAGATTTAGTTGTTATTTATGCGAGAAGAGTTTTTAAGACGTTCAATATTTTTGATTTATATTAAATGTAGTAAAGTTCAGTTGTAGTATGATAAAACATATTGCAAAATGGAACGCGATGCAAAAAAAAGGTTGAAATTTATTAAATTTAACCAACTTTTAAGTATTATTTTCAAAAGGGTAAGTAAAATATTTTAAAATATTACGGAATTTAATTGAAAATTTAGAAATATTGAAAATTAGAAGCTATGATGATATTACTACAATTATAATACTGCTATAATTACTAAATAGAAGTTAATTAAAATTTTAATTTTAAAGCGAAAATTTTGTTCAACATAGCTGAAGTAAAAGCATTATATTAAGAATTCAATGAATCAAGATATTTATTAAAACAATATGAACTTCAAGAATAAATTACAACATTTTGTTTTCAATATTATTTAAATAATTAAAGAAATTTTAGGGCCTATTAAAATTCTAAAGAATTAGGCCATAAAAAATTTATAATAAATAAAAAAATTTTAAATAGAAGCGAAAATAAATTTAATATTACATTATTACAAAATATAACAGATATCATTATAATTTTTATAGTCTTTAAATTTATGTTTTCAATTTTATTAAAATTAAATATTAATTTTGATTATAAAGATATTTTATAGGATTAAGTTTACAATACAATTTAATAACTAATACAAAGAGTAAAGTTAAATTTAATACATTTTATTTTTTTGATTTTTGTTTTTTAGTTTTAAAATAATTAATTAAATCTAAATTAAAATTAAGAGTATTTTTTTTTTTTTATAATTTTATTTAATTATGAATATTTTTAATATAATTTTTCATTGTAATTATTATTATTGTTATTATTATTATTTTTATGTATATTTTTTATTTTATTTACAAAATGTTTTATTTCTTGTGTATTTTAGTTTTTATATGTAAAAAGAATATTTAATTTTTTATTATAATATTTATTATTATATATTTATGCCCTCTTTTGTATGTATGTATATTGTAGATAAAATTTATTTAATAATTTGAAAAACTCCCTGATGGTCCTCCACTTGAACCAGGTGGTGGTGATTTTGGTGACTGTTTTATAATATCATCTATTTGTATTAACTGTTCTAATGGTAAAAATGATAATTCACCACCAGGTTGTGGTAGTTTTTGTGAAGCCTTTAAATTAAAAAAAAAAAATTATTAAAGAACTGTTAAAAATAATTGTTAATTGTCTGGGTTTATCCCTTTCAATTTATATTCGGAATTAAAATTAAATTTTAAAATATGAAATAGTTAAAAATAATTGAACAAAATATAAAAATATCGAAATAATTCCGTAGTAATTGGAAAAAAATAATTTTATAATATTTTACTATGGGAGATTTTTATTTTTATAAAATTGAGTTAAATGAAATATTAAGAAACAATTGTATGAACTATTGCCTTACTGCCTCTATATAAATACGGAATTACAAAAACAAATTGTAGAGTTTTTTCAGGTATACTACCTTCGCATGTTCAATAGCCATTTGTGCTGCTTTCTCTGCTTCTCTCTGTCGTCTCTCTTTTAATTTCAAAGAGAATATCGCCACTGATCTAGCTCTCTTTACAAACGTTTGTTTTAATGATTTTTTCGCTGCATCTAAAATAACAAAAGTAATGAATTTAAATTTAGATTTTTTTGACACTTTAAAAAAATAATATTGTTACCTTTAGCATCTTCCTCTGATGATGGTATTGAATTTTTCTGTTCTCTTTCTTTTGATGAAACATTTAGTGTTGATGGTGTTGTAAGTGAATCTTGTCTACCTGTATTTGTAACATTTGCTTGATTTGTTGATTCTTCTCCACTGACACCAGTTGATGTTATAGTAGTTGTTGGTGCTGTAGTAGTTGTACTAGTTGTAGTTAAATTTGTATTTGCTGTTGTAGTTGTAATCGAACTTGATCGAGCACCCCATAAACTTGGACTAGTACCACTACCACCATTACTGCTACCAACTGAACCACCAGACCCAGAAGCACTTGCTGCTGCCGGTGTACTTGGTTTAGTTAAATTTATAGAACTTGTTGTAGATGTTGATGGTCCAGCAACATTTGTCCATGATGGTGCAGGCTTTAAAACATCCGAATCAGAATTACTTGCAATTTCCTAATTTTGATTTTTTGTTCATTTTGCGTTTTATATACAATTCATGTGCATATGATAATAATTATGGACAATTATATTCAGAAAATTGAGGTGTTGGATTGGTTTGGATTTTTTTTTTTGATATTCCGTGATTCCGTGTTTTGTTTTTTCACACAATTTATTTTTCACATCAATTTTTTTTTGTGTAGTGTTTTTAATTTTTGTTAAAGTGCCACAGTAAAGGTGTAATAGTAAATTTTCATTTGATTTTGAAAAATAAAAATAATTACTTTTTTACAAACACATATTATATATATATATATATATTAATATTTAAAATATAATTATACATAAATTATAATATTTTTTTTATAAAGTTGTGCCCTTTTAACAAATATTTCAAACAGGAGACTGTTCATAAATAACATTTAAAAATGAACAGTTCAAATAAAAATAGAACAGTCAATTCATTAAAATTTCGTGATGTGGTGCTATATAATTGTGTGTAAACGTTAATTCAAATTCAAAAATAAAATTAATTTTTAATTTTTTAAAAATATAGAGTGGAAAAAAATTTTAATAAATTTTGGCTCGAAATTTCCATTTATTTCTAATTATTTCTTATTTTTTCATTAATTTATATTTAATTCAAAATAAAATGAATGATTATAGTGATTAACAACTAAAGCAAAGTTAAATTTAGAAAATTAAGGTTATAATTGAGTAAAGTAAAGAAAAATATGTAATTCAATAAAGTTTAAGTTAAAAGTAATTTGCAGATAAGCCACAGAAAGCAACAATAAATTTTATTTTAAATATTCGTAGAAAGCGTTTTTCACATTTAAAGCGAGAATTATTGCGTAATTTTTAATTTACTTTAAAAGAATTTTGAATTTTTTGTTTAAACTATCGAAAAATGATTTAATTTCTAAGCCTTGTTTAAAAGAATTTAACAATTTTTTGGTAATTTTAAGTTTTATTGAGTTATTTAATTGTTTTTCGAATTTATAGCAATTTTTGAAAAAAAGTGTTTATTAGGTTCATTTTGTCCTCCCGTCTGCCCGTCCATCTAACTCTCTCTTAAGTTATCGCATCTTAAAATTTTTAAAATCTGCTTTTCCAAATTTTTATAAATGCAGAAAGCTAACGGGAAATGCCATGCCATTAAAAATTATATAATTAACTCTCGCAAATAACCCTTAAATTCGAGCATTATGTTAACACCTCTTTTGTTTGTTTTCTACATTTCAAAGATTGCATTCATTGTGCATCCTGAATGTATGCAATTTTAAATGTAATTAATTTTAATAATGTGGTACATAGCTAGATTGTTTTTGAAAGCAGTATTTTCACTGGATCAAGGAAAAAGCGCTACATTACCATTGGCTTGACCCAATTTTATTTATTTTTATAATGCAGAATAATACAAAGAAATAAAGTTGAAAAATAAGATGAAAAAATGTTTAAAAAAATAAAAAATAAATTTCTTTCTTTTTACTCTCTTAATCTCTAAGAGGGATTTACAAATTTATAGGAACCGTAAAGTGAACTCAATATTAAATTAAATGAATAATTATTTTACTCGTATTTTCTTCCGCGAGATTTAAAATTATTTCAGTTTTGAGTATTTCAGTTTTGAGCAATTCTTTTAAAGTAAATTCCAATTTAATTTTTCCTGCATATAGTTAGAAAATAATATATATATATATATTTGTTTAATATTTATTATAAATTATTTATTTAAATAATTGGTATTCATTATTTTCAATATATGTACGATATTATATTTCTTAAATTTATAAATATTTTAATTTAAAAAAATATGCTTATTTTACATTTTTAGCGTAGAATTTATTTAAATATTTTAGCAATAATTAAATGATTTTCTTTAATAACCTCTACACCTGCCAGTCATTGTATGATAAACTCCTAAGTACACATAATACAATTCGAATACAAAAATACATGAAAACAAAACAAATACAAAGGAAAAAAAATTAAGAAATAAATTAAAAAAGTGTTTGTTTTAAACAAAATATAAATTTTTAATTAAAATTAATTAATTAAAATTTTAATTGTAATTAATTAAAAATTTGTTGTTTAAATAAATTATTCCATTGTATGTTTATAGAAAAAAACAAATTTTATAAAATGTTATTTTTAAAAAAAGAGTCTGAATTATGTTTCAATTTATATAATTAAAACTATATGTGAACACTTTTCATATTATTTACAAAATGGTACGCAATTCTTCCCGCTACATAGTTCTTTTTTTTATTAAAAAAAATTCACGAACCCTTCGAGATCTTCAATTGAAATCCAATTGAAAAAATCTCATGTGGTCAGCACATAACCAATCACAATATGCATTGTATAGTTAAGTGAAAGTGTTACAGAATATTATAAAAATGTCTGTTAAATACTTCTTTCCAATTTTTGGGCATTTGTAAGCTTGTAGTTAACATACCTATAAAAATGTAAATTTGGCTTTTAGTAGAGTTTCGCTTTGTGCTACCCGAATTCCCTGAAATGCTTGCCAGATAGTTTCGGTAACAACCAGAACTCAAATATCAAATTTCAAGAAATTCCATTAATTCGTTCCGTAGATATGGTGAAAAATGTAAAATCGGCCCGCAGATCAGTTTCCGAGCCCTGATCTTTCCAAAAAATTTATATGTTCATTTTTTTAATACAAGGAATTTACATATTAGATTTGAATGAAATCCGTTGATTATTTCTCTTTATATACGCAAAAATGTATATTTGGCCCGTATAGTAAATTTGATAACGTAATGATTTCTTCCAAAAGTTAGGAGGTTTCGCGGACGGTCAAGCAAAGCTCATGTATGTAATTTCAAGTAAATCGGTTGAATATTTTCCTCAAAATAATCAAAAATGTAAAACAGGCCCGCTAAAAAGTGCAGTTCCAGAGGCGTGATTTATTCCAAAAGTTGATCAATCCGTGCCATGGTCGAAATAAACTTAGACATAAAATTTCATACAAATCGTTTCAGCCGAACTTGAGATACACGCGTGCACACACAGACCGACAGACCGACAGGTTGCTGAAAATAATTTCTTTGCACTTCCCTATCTTGGAGAAATTTTGCCAAAATACCTTCATTTTGAAGATAAATCTTCACTTTTCACTTTTGGTAGCGGTTTAACACACAAAGTACCTACACATTTAAATATTTGGAAAAAAACTATTTATTTTTAATGAGAGAAAAATGCACTACATTTTGTATTGAATGAAATGTGTTCTCTTTGTATTATTATTTTACTCTGTGTATTAATAATTATAATAAAAAATTTTGTTGTATACTTAATACTTTTAAATGAAGTATGAATAAAAAATTATTTAATTTTTTTAAATAAAAAAATAAAGAAATAGCTAATAGTTTTTATATAAAATAAATCTTAATTACAAGTATATTATAAGCATTATAATAAATTTACATTTAAAGCAGCATAATTACATTAATTTTTATTATTATAATAATTACTAATCGCATTTAAACTAAATAGTAAATTTAACAACATTTTTAGTACCGGATATTAAATTATTATATCTAATATTTTGATATATGTATAATTATTTTGAAAATAAATTATTGAATTATTAATATTTAAAAATACGTTCTTGTTGAAATCGATATAAATTCTATGTATTGATGGAGTATAGATATTAAGCTTTCTACTAACTGAGGTTATGAATAGAAAAGCAGAAAAAATTATATGCTGTCGGCAGAATATTCTTTGCAGTTCTATCAACAAACACGCAAAAATTTTTTGCAGCAAACGACCATTGCAGATTTTTGTTAGAACTGCAAACTGGAATTCAATCTAATATGTTAAATTGTTATAAGTAACTAACAATTTAATATGTCTCTTTTATATGCACTAAAAATAACTAATGTATTTCGAAATAACGAGGCGTTATAGTCTAGAGCGAAAGAACTGGAAAAGTATGATTACTATTAGCGTAGTTGTAATTTTTTAAATGTACTACTATTCTTTTAATTTTCGGCAAGTATTAATTTTGAAAATAAGAATGAGAATTGTAGTTTTTATTTTTTATGATATTAAACATAATTCCTTTTTCTTTTTTTTCATTATGACTTTTTTTATTAAATTTTAGGTAATTAAAATTCCAGGTGTTATACTTTGTGGTTAAGCTAACCGCTGCTTACCTATTGTAAATGTTATAGTATTAAATAATGTTACGTTGAATAACTTGAAAGATTTGTTAAATAAAAAGTAATTCTCTATTCCGATTCCAAGAAATAGAAGAGGGAAATTTTGGAAAAAAAAAGTATTTATTTTTAATGAGAGATTGAAAAATTAAGGAAAAAATTTCCCACCAAGTAAAACTGTTGACGCTTTGGATTAATTTCTGAAAACTCTATTCCCATGAGAAATTTATTTCTAACAATAGAAGTACCTTTATTTTGATTCTTCTGTCAAATGAGCATATTCAGAATGTTGAAACAAATGTATTTAAAGACCATTAAGTGCATATTTGTACATTTTTTTAAAAAAGCTTATAATAAATGGAATATTAGTATTTACTCCAATATGCATGATATTTTATATTTTTATATTGTACTGTATATATCTATATAATTAAAATGAATATTCAACACAGCAAAACATAACTAGTCAATTTTGTTGTTGTAACTATAATTAATATTGTATATAATATTTATTAACTTTATTTAAAAAAGAAAACGATTAATTCAACGTTTATGGAAAAAAAATTAACAATTTAACTATCAAAAATCAAAATTAATTTTTTTTAGCATATCCTTTTTTAAGGATTTAATTATAATGTTCTCATTTTATAAGTAATTTTTTTTTTGTCTTTTTGTTTTATTTATTTTACTTATTAAGGTCATTTCGATTATATTATCCGTACCTTGGATGCTATACAATCGATGCTTCTATGAATATTTGTCGATTCATTAACTTTCAATCTCGAAATCCATTCGGGAACATGAAGTGGCATCAATTTATTTTTATCTTTAATTTCGAGCTATTCGAGATTTTTTTTTTTGTTTTAACGTTATTTAATAATTTTTTTTCATATTATAGAATTTTTATAGAAAAAATTAGATGCGATTTTGAAATATTTTATTTGTTTATTAATTTACCGTGTTTTTTTTTTTTGATAAATTAAATATAATTTGGTTTTTGGCGAACAAAAATAAAAGAAAGAAAATAAAAGTGAAAATATTTACGCACATTAAATGTAAAATATAAAAAGGAAAAAAAATACATTAATTAGTAAGTAAAAAACAAATTCAAAAATAAAAAATATAAAAATTAAATTAAATAAATTTTTTAATTTTGCTTTTACATCTGTAAATATTTTTTAAATTATTTGAATTTCAAATAAAATTTAATTATAATTTATGTTTGTTTTTATAACAACGGTAACTACTGACAAACTTAATTTAAAAAAATTGTTGAAAATTGAAAAATAAAATTTTCTAAGTTTTCTACAATTGATTTTTGAAAGAACAGTGGATTTAGTTTGTTGATCTTTTGTTGGTGGTTTTAAAATACTCTATGAATTTCTTCTTAATTTGATCATTAAAAAATTGAGGAATTTTGGTTGCAAGTTTTAAAAAAATTTAATGCACATAATTTTAGTATTTTGTTTTTTATTTCCAATCCCAAATTCCATTAAAATTATCTGAATTACATTAATTGTACTATAACATATTAAAAAAATCTAATGTGATCAGCACATAACCGACCGCAATCTGTATTGTCTAATTAAGTGAAAGTGTTACAGAATATTATAAAAATGTCTGTTAAATACTTCTTTCCAATTTTTAGAACATTAGTAAGCTTATAGTTAACATACCTAGAAAAATGTAAATTTGGCTCTTAGTAGAATTTCGCTTAGTGCCATTCGAATTTCTTGAAATGCTCGCCAGTTAGTTTCGGTAACAACCAGAATTCAAATATCAATTTGCAAGAAATTCCATCAATTAGTTCCATAGATATGATAAAAAATGTAAATTCGGCCCCTAGTTCGGTTTCCGAGCCCTCATCATTCAAAAAAATTTTTATGTTCATTGTTTTAAAACTCCAAATTTAAATATTAAATTCCAAGGATAGTAGTTGATTATTTCTCTTTATATCCAAATATCGATCCAAAATATCCGTTATGGTCCGATATATCCAAAAAGTCGATCATAGCCAAAAAAAAACTCACATATAAAATTTCATGCAAATCATAAATCAGGTCAGCCGAACTTGAGATATACGCGTGCATACACAGACAGACAGACCGACAAACCGACAGGTTGCTAAAAATAGTTTATTTACACTTCTCTACCATGGAGGAATGCGTTCCCACCGAAAACTCGATATGATTTGTTGCCATCACATGCGGGTGATGCGGGTCACATATGCGGTCGGTAAAAATGGTGGTGATTATTTTAAAATACATATCTTTGTTTCTTTCATTGCAGGCTACTCAAATCTAATATTTGTATTCTGATTCTATTCTATAACTATAAATTAATCAATTAAACATTTGGAACTTCATTCAACGCTTAAAAAGTATTTTATTTCAGAATGATGAGATTTGGAATTTGCCATACATAAATTAACCACAACGGTTACGTTTACTATTCTATGTGTTATTCTTTTCACATATGATGGTACGTGGTTGACTAAAAACTTCCTTAATTTATTTTGATTTTATTTAATTATAAAGTTATTTTCGAATTTTGTTTCATTATCTTAAAAAAACATAAGAATATTCTCTAAAGAATATTTTTAATAATTTAAAGAATAATCAGCATAATATCATGAATATTTATATAATGTGTAGTATATAAATACATAGACACACACACTCATATACCATAAATTGTATATTGCACATTATTTATAAATCTTATTTTAAATTATTTATTTGCATAAAATATTTTATTAATGCAAAAATATAAAATAAAATTGTTGAAAATTGAAATTAAGTCACGTACAATATTAAAGAATTCATCCTATATGTATGCAATTTGATATGTTAGAAATGAATTCTATAAATATGGGTAAATAAATTTATTAAAATTTTATATTTAACAATTTAAAAATAGTTTGAATGTATACAGTTACATAATGTGAGTTGTATATAATGTTGTCGAGAAAAAAAAAATGATTTTCTGTTAAAGAAGAAAATTTTCGAAAATTTTTTCTTCATACGAAATTGTTTAAGAATTGCAGTCCTTTAAGTAATTGGTATACATTAGACGAACGTGTATACTTATGTAAACTGATACAAAAGGTATTATAAATGTAAATATCTATATACAAGCGGGCGTGACTGTATATTCGAAAATTTCTACATAAATATTTTCTTCACAATTTTAAAAATTTTCTGCTTTATTTATTTTTTTCAATTTTTCTGCATTAAGATATAGAAAATTAAATTTTTATTAAATTTAATTCAATAAGCTGGTCAGAACATAATGATTTATGATATTTTTACTTGTATATTTTTTATTGTACGGAACCAACAAATTTAATCTACACATGATTAGTGTTCTTTTTTGAAGCTCATTCGGATTTAAGGATTTACAGTCACGATTTAAATTTTTTTTTTAATGAGTGTTATAAAATATAAGTTAAAATCGGGAACAATTGTAATAATAAATCAAGTGTCCGAAGCAACTCTGAAGCTATTGTCATTAATTAATGAGGCTAATAATTCTGACGTCGAAAATTTTATATCTTTGTTAAACAATTAAATTTAATTAGGGTAACATATTTTATTTGAGTTTTCAAAAACAGATATGTATATGAAAATATAAGTTCTTATATTAACATACTGTTTACGTCGGTACGTTTATATGGCATATAAGAAAATGTCAAAGTTAACAAATTCAAAAATTTTCATTGTTTATGCAGATAGCAACCAAAACTCCCCTATAAATATGCAATTTGTTTTCTTTATTACATAAACAAATTATCATTACTTGGTTAAAACAAATAAGGAAAATAATAAAAAAAATATAGAAAAAATTTAATTTCTTACATTTGTATGTGGTGTTGATTCAGATGATTTTCTAGCTTTAAATGGTGGTATTGATGCTATTTCACCAATTTTTGGTACTTGTTGTGGTTTACGTGGACTTTCACCTGTTATTGAATTCTCTGAATCACGTCTCTTATCCTGTTGTTGTTGACTTTTCTTTTGACGGAACGGAGGTATTTCTGGAATATACATTGGTTGGGATTTTGCCAATGACATACTACTACCGGATGGTCTATAAAATGTTTCCATGACAGTATTAAATATTATTTGTTTTTCAAAATAGATTGTTTTCAATTTCAAGAAAGTTAGTGAAAAAGTATGAAAGAGAGAGAAGAGAAAGAAACAAAAAAAAAATACAATCAATGAAAGAGAATTTTATCTTAAATATTTTATTTTAAAATTTATTAAAAAAAAACAATTTTTTTTTTAATTTTATTATAAAAGCGACACAGAATTTTTTTAATCCTACATTTATTTAATATAATTATAAAGAAAAAATTCCAATTTTTGAAATTATAATTTCAAAAAAAAAGGTCATAATAAAATTAAAGACACAACAATATTTGATAACGAATTTAACACCATTTTATAAATTAAAATGGTGGACCGCTGATTAAGGGTTTCCATTCGTTTTTGTATATTTAATACCACAATATCAAAATTAAAATTAAAAATTAAAAGAATTTTGTAAATAAAAATTTAAAGTATTTTTATTTAAATTTATTAAAATATGTAAATAATTTTATAAAGCTTAAAATATATGCAATATAAAAAAAAACAAATTTTAATTTTAAAATAAAATATGCACACATGCATAATTCAAAAATAACATATCGTAAAAATATATACGATTATTTTACATAATTTTCACAACATTAAAAACAAATATGGAATTTAATAAATTTACAAAAAACATAATTTTATATTTTAATTTGGAATTTAAATTTCCAATTAATTTTTTTTTTTAATTAGATTATAAAATTTTTATGATCTGCAAATTTTTTTGCTTTAAATATTTAAATCGCAATCGAATTGGTGTAACATGCTCTAAGTAAGCCGTAAATAATGCTTTTCTGTAAATTAAAATTTTCTCTTAAAGGATTATTCATAAACTTATTGTAATTAATTTATTTTATGAAATCTGACATGAAAATTCAGTACCCATCCAAATGTTAAATAAAAAACGTGTTATCATTGTTGAGTTTTTTAATCCCTAGCATGTGGAATTTTAAGCAAGCTAGATTTTTTGAATTTTTCGAAAATTTTTGATAGCTGTTGTGTTACGTCATCAAAATTAAAATGAAAAAATTTCAAAAATTCAATTATTAATCAAGGTATCTAAAGTACAAATGCTATGAAATTTATATTTTTATTGCATTACATTTCTAAGGCAAGTTTAAAGGTACTCCTATGTCTCATTACACCACTTTACGAAAGAACCTGTATATGAAAAATCATAGTTGAAATATTTAAATTTCGTTTAAAAAGTCCAGTTCAAATTATACTTTGTGCATTACTGGAAGGGCAAAAGTTGGGGTTAATTTATACAGGGTGATTTAGTAATGAGTGTCCTTAAAATATACCATCATTTGGGTCTTTGAAAATGTGTAAATTTCGTGGCTTAAATTAAACTTTATGTAGCTGGGCAAAATTTTGTTAAAAAAAATTTCTTACGAAATTATCGCAATAGAAAAAAAATTGATTTTTTTAAAGTTTGAGTGGTTGGTATTCCAAAAGCATATGAATCAGTGTCCTTAACACATCCCATCGGTAGTCAGTGCCTTATGTGAAGTCAGTGAAAATGAATAAAATTTGTGGCTTGATTTTTTCTAAAGTTTGAGTGGTTGGTATTCCAAAACTACTTACATAAAATGCAAAATCAAGTAGTCTGTTGCTTTCGAGCCCTTTATTATTCCTTTCACAAACTGTCTGAAGCTTCTATCTTTTTCGGAAGAGAAGGTGTAAGCAAGAAAACTTGGACAAGTAAAAATTTCGTGAAAATTTGTTATACAAGGATTTTAAACTCGCAAAGCGTTGGTGTTTGACACCGAGTTCTTAACAAAAATTTTACTCATTTTTAATGTCCTAAATGATGGTATATATTAAGGCACTGATAACTGAATCACCTTGCATTATATTAAATATTAAATGAGGTTTATTTTGAAAAATTGCAACAGAAAACTGATACATTTACCGAAAATATCCAAATTAATAAAAAAAAATTTAAAATAAAACTAGATTTTCAGCATTTTAGGTCTCTTTTAAAATGAAATTCAATGTTCAAATAAGAGTTTTTTTAGCGTGATTACTTATTTTATGAATAACCTTTAAAAAATTATGCAAATATTATAAAAATTTCATATTCCATAAATTTCCTATTTTATGGAATTTGGCATGTATGTTGCATCAATAAGACTGTGACAAAAAAAAAAAAAAAAAACAACACCAAAAAACTTTTTTTTTACGTTTTTTCTTTTCAAAACCAATTTTTATATGCTTTTTTTTATGTCTAAATACTTTTTGTTACATTATTTCTTTTTTTTTTTTATTTAAGAATTTACCCTGAAAAAGCGTGCAATTTAGCATATGAGCTATAAACTGAACTTCCTCTAAATGGAGGTATATCTTGGACTTTTGTTCTCAGCCTACAATTTTTACATGCGCTAAAATTTAATTATTTATGTTTATAAAATGTTTAATTTTTTATTCCAAAAAATAAGTCATAAAATGAAGAAATGGGAAGATAGAAAATTATAAGATACTTTTTTTTGCATTATACAGGAGAAAAAGTAAATTTAATGTTAAGAAGCAAAAGTATTTAAATGAGAATTTCAAGAGATCATTTTTCTATTGAATTCATATTTTTGAAGAGATATCGTGAGAATTGTAAGGATTGCTTGTATAATCTTTTTATAAATTCAAAAATTATTTTCTTATTGAATTTTTATAATTATATAGGGTGATTCTTCGATTCAGATTAGTTTGCTATCTACTGACCTCAAAAAACAGGGTCAGTAATTTTTTCCTGCTTTTAAATTTTTATTTCAATTAAAATCCTCATTTAGCCCCAAAATTATGTGATTTAATGCTGGTGGATTTTTTTTTTAAGAATACGTGAAATGCTATGGCGTAAATGTATTAGCATAAAAGCATATTCAGCATTGACTGTATGTTTTGGGGAAAAAAATGATGAATGTATAATTGCTAATGTTCCGGTCTAAATGCATAAAAAAGTGGCTAGAAATTTAAGTTTTCAAATAGAATTTTATTGATTTAAATTTGGAGGAAACAATCATTGATTTTATTATGGTTATCGTTTTTAGATTCAAATAAACATTATGTTAAAATTTATTGCAATTTGACATTTCCTCTGTTAATCATCTATATAAGTCTGTTAATCATCTATTAGATCTTTCAGATAAGATCTTTTTGATCTTTATAAGATCTTTATTCAGATAGATCTTTTTAGTTTCCTCAGTTTTGGTAATTAATAATTCCTTTTCAATTTTTGTTTTCGTTCATTAATGAGAGCAGTTCAATATTTTTTTGTAAAAATTCTTGTAATTTAATCTTTTGCGATCTAATATTTTTTTTTTGATATTGGATCTCTTGTAATTCTCTACAGAATTGAGTTTAGAAATATGTTATTATGAATTGGTGATTGACATTAAATGTAGAAGTTAGAAAAACAAATTAAAGTCGAAAAACAGTTTAAGAATATTTTGGAATAATTTTGGCTTTCAAATTTTCGGGTCAAATTCTAAAAAAAATTTTTTTGATAAATTAATAATTTACTTGTTGTAAATACTCGTAGAAAGAAGATTAAATATTAAGAATTTCATATTATTAATCTTAATGTTTTTGACGATATTTTCAAATCTGACGATATTTTCAAATCTTGGGTACACTTTTCAGAGCTTTCATTCTCAGTTGCGAATGTTTTTGTGTTGTTATTATTTTTTTTTTTTTTAAATTAAGAAATTGCAGGTCTCACAAAACATGAAGAACTAAATTTCTAAATAATATTCAAACTATCCCTATATTTTGTAAGGATACGAATATTAAATCGATTTTTGTGACCATTTCTGAATCACCACTACCGATATTTTTATTAAAAAAAGGGTAAGAGGGGAAAATATTTAAATTCACAATAATTTGTGAATTTCCCATGTACTAATTTAATTTCGTTTTTCGACTTTAAAAAATCATAGTGAATAGATAAAAATAGAATATAGAATTGAAAAAAAAAATAGTAGAGAAAGAGGCAAAAATTATTAACAGAAATTTTTGTTTTGGTTGGTAAAAAACTTTTTTTCATAAAAAGAAAAAAAAATGTTTATAATATAAAAACTTGTATTAAATATAGTAAAAATGCAATTATATTCAAATTATGTATATAAACTAATATATATATATATTTTAGAAAAAAAATAAATTCTAGAAAAAATTTCAAAATAAAAAAGAATCTACTGGTTTTTTTTTTTTTTTTGAATACACTTTGTGATTTAGAAAACTAAACGAATTTAAATTGAGGAAATTGTGCTTTAAAGTTTATTTAAATTTTATAATATACGGTTTATTCGGGAAATTTGCAGTTGTTCCTGGGGGAAAAATTGCAATAAATAAAAAAATATAACTTTATTATTAATCTAATGACAAAATGAATACATATATGTAAGCTTAAAATTATAGAAGTATTAAAAATATCGCGTCAATATTAAAGGTAATTTGAATAAAAACAATTTGATTTCATTGATCTGAACTTAGAGGTTAATTCGGGAAGAAAAACGAATTTTAACGTTAAATTTTGTGGCGAAATTTTAGAATGATTTGGGATTAAGCTTTTTGAGAACTAAAATCTCTTATATCCGAGAGAGTGACAATTATATATGGGCCGCTATAATATTGCAATGATCTATTGCTTAAATATTTATTAAGTTTGTTACAAACAATTTGCATCGTAATATTAGAATATTTTGGTTAATTATTAAAAGAAATAATCTTCAATAGCCACAAATTATGTCGAATAGAAAGCATGTATTTCAGACGTTTAACAGAAAATAGCTATACAGAGTGTTTTATATAAGGTGACAAATAATTTCAGGAATGATTCTTTGATCAATTTCCATCAACAAATTGTAGGGGGTGGGGAATTGGGGGAGAGTACAGGTACTCTTTCGGACTACAGCTTGTTGAAAAAACAGATACAAAATCTTTCCTGTTAAACATCAACATAGAAATTATCATAGAATCACCAAACATGCGACATAAAGCATAACCATTGGTGGCTTGTTTAACAAAATTAGAATAACACAAATATTCGAGAAATTTCGAGTTTTTTTGAAAAAAAATTTGAAAAAAAAAAAAAGAATAAAATTTCTGACTTTAACGAATTTGATCTCGAAAACTATGACTCAAATCAAATTTATTGTCAAACTGAAAATAAAAAGCAATGCATCATCTGCAAAACAAGCCTGCAAAGGTTGCTATATGTCGTATGGTTCCGGAGTTATAAGAATTTATTAATGTGCATGAAAAATTTGGTACTTCCATTTTCAACAGGCTGTAGCTCGAAAACAAGTATATATACACTTCGACGTCAACCATACTGCTTTTTTGCTGGAAATTGATCAAAGAATCATCCCTGAAATTAACTGCCTGAAAATTCGACTCTATTTTGTTATAATTTATAATTCCTGTGTTTCCAAACTGCGTTTAAGTTGAATAATTTGTATATAATGTTGAAAAATAAGTTTGAGGAATGTGTGTTTGTAATTTGAATATAATTTGTTAGTGTTTATATAAAATTAGAAATTCAAAATTATTTGAAAATAAAAAATTTCAACTTTATAATCTGAAGATTGAAAATTATTTAGAAAATATTTATTTGTATGAGTGAATGTGAACATAAGAAATTTTAAGTAATTTTAAATAATTTCTTTTTCTCTCATAAATCATTTTTCAAAAGTTAAAATTAAATTTTCAAAATAAAAATATTTATTGTTCATACATAAGTAATTTGATTTTAAAATTAAATTATAAGTAAAAATATTTCTATATTTTTTAATATAAAAAATAGAATTATGTAATTTCAAAACAAAAGCATCATTGTAACAAATAAAAAAGGAAAATTTTATTAAATTTTTCAAAAACAAAATTAATAAATTTTAAATGTTTAAGTTAAAGACTGAAATAATTCAATTCTGAAAATATTAATTATTAATTTAAATTATTTTATTACTAAAATTTATTTAAGTTCAACAATAACATATTGGTGGACAAATAACAGTTTTTGACTTAGGACTTAAAATAATTTTTTTTAAATTTCCAAAAAATATATCAAGAATAGGCGTACTAGCTTCATGTTTGCAGAATAATATAATCAAAAATCGCGTTTAAATTTCAAAATTTGATATTTGAAAATTCATCAGATTTTGAGTTTAAACTGTACAATATTGACTATTCAGAAGATATTAATTTTATAAACTAAAATATTCACAAAAATCAAATCTTAAAAACATCCCAACTATATGAAATTACAGCCAGATTATAGTGTTCGTTTCATAAAATCACATTTTTGTCCCTCGTGCTTGTTTTAGTGTCTTGTATAGTAGCGTTATTCTTCAGAGATGCTACGACTGTTTAAAATCCATAACTTTATTTTAAAAATTTGAATCGAATTTTAAAAAAACACAATTTTATGAATAAGGTTGCCCTACAAATAATCTGATCTAGCTATATTTGCGGACTTATGCGTATTATTCATTTGATTGCATAGTAATGGGATGAAATTGTATCCCAGTTACATTTCCTTTAAAATTATAACCAAAAGTACTATTAACTGTAGAACTCATTTAGGCGCAGTTGAATTTGAATTGAATTATTTCAATTTTTTGTTTAAGAAATTTATTAACAAAAGTAAGGAAAGTATTTTAATTATGTATTCTTCAATATTCTAAACGTATTATAAAAATTGTCAATAAACAAAAATTAAAAAAAAAAAGGATTAAGAGTTAACAGAAACAAAAATGTTTTAAAATAGAAGAATAAAAATTGAGTTTATTGTAAAAAAAATTAAAAGCTTAAATTTTTAATAAAATTTTAAATAAATTTTATTACCCTGGTAACCCTTGCACATCATATGGAAGATTTTGTGTTGAATCACTGCCATTTGGTGGTGTTGATTCGTGTAATGGTCGAATTAATATTGTACTTGTCTTTAACAATACAAAGTAAAAAAAAAATATTTTAAAATTTTATTTATCACATTTATTTTTCTGTTTTCTAAATAATTATTACCTGTGAAGGTGGTGAGTCCGGTGATGATTCTTTATCTCTTATATTTTCATTCATATGTAATTCAGCTTGTAAACTTTCCTGTACTAATTTTGCATGAATTTCATCTAATTGCTGTTGTATATATAATGGATTATCTTCATCCATTATTTGACTATCCATTGATTCATCATTTGTTGTTGCTAAATCAGCTGGTGTCATTTGTTGTGATACAGATGTTGTTGAAGGCGGTGATGGTGGTGTTGGTCTTGGTGATGTACCTTTTACTTGCATTTCACGTCGACAATGTTCAGCACGTGCAATTTCAGCAGCTAACCATGATGGTAATTCTGGTAATAACCATGTTAATGCTGAACGTAATCCTAACATAATATGCTAATAAAAAGGAATAAAATAAAAAAATTTTTGAACAAACATAAAATTTATACAGACAACATATTAAATCTTAACTTACTTCTAATGCAACAATAAGCATTATAGTTTGAGCTGTTGTTAATCCAGGCCATAATCTTGATACTTGACCAGATAAACCAATTAATGCACAATTAACAATAACAGCTGCTAAACTTAATACACTTAATGCATTTTGCCATGTACCAATATTTGCAACACGTTGACCAAATGGTCTCTGATGAACATGCGCCAATTTAAATGCATCTGAACGTATTTCTAATAAATTATTAGCTAATGCACATAATCCAGCTAATGGAAATGCAGCCGAAAATAATACAACATAACCCATTTGTACTAGCATTTCTAAATGATCTGAGAATGTTCCATCATACTATAGCATTTGTATACAAATAGAAAACAAAATGAATTAAATTTTATTAAATTTTTAAGATGCAATTTTTAATTGCAATAAGTGCTACAAATAGCAGATTATTAAAATTCGGAATTTTTAATTTTTCTAAAAAATTTTTGTAAACTTTTGTGAAATTTTAAATTGTTTTATTAAAGTTAGTAAAATTGGAATAAATTGGTTATTGGAATAGAAAAATATTTTGAGATATGCATGTACGATGGCGGAGTCATGAAGAAGTATTATTTAATTTCATATCCAAATTGTTGTAATGCTATATTACTTTGTTCTATTTTTATAATTGAAATTAAGTAACGGGATCATGTAGCATGAGTGCAATGCTGATGCTTACAAAGACTTCGAAATTTGCTATCAGAATTCACATGCCGAAATTCTGAATTCCAATAATATTTTTTATTTTTTCCCCACTTTACCGAATGCGCCGTCTGCAAAATTTGATGTGTTATGATCGCGCACATAAATTGAGGTTTTAACTGAAATAAACCCTGTGATAAATCTCTTCAAATAGATGACCTACAGATAAATCTGGACCCTTCTGCACTTTGAATTTAACAACGTTTAATATACCAATTTCAAGCATCAGAGAAACAATGAATCGATTTAGTTAGTGTTATAAATCAGCTTTTTTCACTCAATGTAATATAGCAGTAGATTTTTGGGGTTAATCTGGTCCTGGGATTGTACTTTTATTACACCTCAATTTTATATTTTTAAGCACATCTTACACAATTGTTTAAGTTAGTCTTAAAACGCAGTATACAGAACTAGGAATTTTGGGGAAGCTATTTTTTTTTTAATTTTTCATTCTTCATGTTTCACGATGACCGTTTATTATTTATATTGTGAACTGATTATTACAACCCATGTAACAAAATATTTGAAAATATTTTTCAACATTAAAAATAATGTGTGCAAAAATTTGCTATGAATTTCATTATTAAATTTAATCTCTACTAATTCTCTTTTTTTTTTAATCGTGGTTTTCAAAACCTTTTTTAAACAACTATGCAACATCTAAAATTCATTTAATTTATTTTATTCGTAATTTTTGTCACGTTTAATATTATAAAACCAAATATTATCTACCGCATTATTTCAAAGTAAAATTTTAACTCACCACACCATCTCTTAGACAATATTCCCAAAATTTCATTATTTTCACATTTTATACAACCTTTTATTAAGTACAGTTCAAAAAAATTATAGAAAAGGGAAAATTTTTCGTCATTCTAAGAACACTAATTCGTGGAGAAATTATCCTTATTAAAACAATTAAATTTTAATGTCCTTGCTCTCATATTTTTACTATTTTTCTTCTTTCCTATTATATTTTTGTATATGGGTGAATGAAAATTTGATGAAATTTCTAAAATTTACAATTTTGATCTAATTTTAGATTTTCTTATTAAATTTGAAAAAATTCTATTTTCTTTCGTTATATACCGAATATCCTTTTTGTATTTATACGTTCTCGTTTACTTGTATTCAAACATAATATATGTATGTACTTATAGCGTTTAACATTCAACAGTGCAATATAAATTGTGAGATTAAAATTTTCTCATGTAAAATATAAATTTTTTTTCAACTTTATTTTTAGGTTTAATTAAATTTATCATGCGGTTTGTATTTCGAGGATAAAAATTTCAGTACACTATATACCGTATAATAATATATGCATACAGTAAGTGTTTTCGTATACATTTGTGAATATATTTGTGGGCCCAAGGGAATAGGTAAATAGAAATAAGTATCCTTTCTATATTAAAATTTTCTTCTCCTTTATATTGTCTCTTGTGTTATGTAGTGTTTGTATTCAATGTAGATATATGTATGTATATATATAATGCATGTTAAGAAAAATGTAATGTTAAAATGTACAATTTAAAAAAAAAAATGAGCGAAACATTTTCCGTTTTCATATTATTATATCCTTACATTCTATATTAAAATATTTACGAGTATATAGTAATTTTGAATATTTATTTAAGATTCTCTGCGAGAAAAGAATGAAAAAAACACAATGTGTTTTGCTCTAAGGGGGTGTGTGTGCTACATATTTGCCTTGTTCTTTATGTTGTATTTTTAAGAATATAAAATTAGTTTTTTAACGCTATTTTGAATTTATAAACAAAATTTGATTTATAAAAGTTCAATGAGCTTAACATTTTCATAAATAAATATTTGGTTATATTATATAAGTGCGAGTATGTAAATGAACAGCTCTGAGCTACGTTTGTATAAGTTATATGAGTGGATCCTCAAGGGAATTTTATATTATGATATTTTCATTCCCACGCGAATCATATTTGCATATATAAAATATAAAGACATCTATATAGACATCAAAATTCTTATATAGGCATTCATATTTGTAATTCATTATGAAAATATAAAACCCAAAAATTTTTGTTTAATTTAAACTAACCTTATTTAAAGTACTTTCAATTTCAGCTTGTCCAATATTCCTTTTACTATGAAATTGTTGTTCTGATATACCAATTCCACTAGAACTACCACCAATATTACCACCACCATTATCATTACCATTATTTGTATTAACTGATGGATGACTACTTCTTAATTTTTCTTGCTGTTGTTGTTGTTGCTGTTGTTCTTGCTGTTTTTTAATATTTAATAATTCTTCTGAACTACTTTTTGAACCAACACTTGATCTTTGATTTAATAATGTTGCTGCAACTGTTGATGCTGCTGCTGATGTTGTTGTAGTAGCTGATTTTAATGCTGTATCAAATGTTCTACCACTAACAATTGTACTACTACTACCACCAATACCACTACCACTATTCGATTCTGATATTAATTGTGTTGGACTTAATGCTCCGCCTAATTTAAAACTTAATTTCGCCAATTTCCATTGCTCAATCATATACGGTAATGCTGATTCACGTAAATTACCAATAATTTGTCGTGATATTAATAATCCAGCTAATTGCTATATTTAAATAAAATTGAAAAAACAAAAAAACAAATTTTAATTATTGTAATTATAAGGACAATAACAATTAAGATAAGATTTGTAAGTATGTGTGTAATTGTATTGAATACAAAAACCTCTTTTAATTTTTCCTCATCTCTTATATAAAATGCTATATAAAAGAGTGATAAAAATGAATTAACAAACTGAAATAGTGCTACTTTTGCTATCAGATGATTTTCATATTTTGACTGAAGTCGATAATTTTCTGCAAAAAGAAAGAGAATACAAAAAAGGAAACAAAAAATGAATAGAATAGAATAAAATTTCATAAAATTCAAAATAAATTTATGTACAAGATTTTTTTTTATTTTAAAATCTCTGCATGATAGAAAATTTCTATGAAATTTGCATAAAAAACTCATTAAAAATAAACATAAAAACAAAAAAAGAAATTGTTTTGAATTGCAATGTGAATTTTTTATCTCGATTTTTATGATTCCGAAGTGATATTTCAGTTGACACAATTATAATGAAAAACATTGTGTGAAAATACAAGGTGTTTTGAATATGTCATTGATATTGAGTGACTTGAGGACAAATGCTTCTTATACGGTGGCAACATGTAAAAATTTTATTAGAGTTTTGTTAAAGGAAATTATTTAACGAAGGATTTAGATAGGATTTAGATTGTTTTACATTTATTTTGTTTTCTAAACCCGGTTTACTTTAAAGATTATTTTAACTTATACGAAATCATCCGAATCTGGAGCGAAATTCATGGAATAATCGATTGACACAAATTTATAGGAACATTGAATCCGAACTCAATTTTAATTTTTAATTTTCTCATAAAAAGTTTTTCTCTTATTCGCAAAACTTATGTTATGAATGCAACAGCATTCTAATAATAATTGCTATAAAGAAGAAAATTTTCACAATGATTTATTTGTTTAATTTATGGATTTTAATAATTACGTATACATAGTATATTATGTTGGTATATCCTTAGCAATATAGAAATTGATCAGTGCCATATCTTTTGGTGCCGAGCTTTTTTCTAAATGAATAGTGTTTAATTTCTAATGTCATATAGTTTACTGTCTTAGTGTCAAACATAAATGACAACTTACAGTGGTACGTCTTACATATTCGGACAAAAAAATTTTAAAATGTATATTTCAATTAGAGCTACTGAAATATGGGTATTGTCGCCTAAACTGACGAGTAGTACAAAAAATTTTATTCTCCTTGTTGTTGTTATTATTTATACTCAGCACCATCGTGAACGGTATATTCACTTTGGTATGGAGTTTGTAACCACTTGAAGAAGTCGCCTCATATAGTATGGACATATATACATATATATTATTGCTCAGAGTAAAATTCTGCGTTGATTTACATGACATGACGTTCGTCCATCCGTCCGTCCGTCTGCCCGTCCGTCCGTTCGTCCGTCCGATCGGGCGATAACTCAAAAACGAATAACGCAATTGGCATCAAACTCCCACAAGTTGTTTCTTTTATGTAAACGACGTCTGCTATTGTAATTGAACCAATTCGGATAACGGGTTCGGGTAGCTGCCATACAACTCAAATAGGTTTTTTTAAATTTTTCAAAAACTAATAAAGATATTAATATCAAATTTTGCAAAGATGTGCCCAATTACACTCTACATATGTTCTGAAAATTTTAATGGAATGGCTGCAATGGTTCGGGTAGCTGTCATGAAATTTGCCAGTTGTGTGTCCAACTATAAGTCAGACATATCCATGCAATTTCTATAGAGTGGTTTGTCAGGTTCGAATACTTGATATACAACAATTTTAAACTCAAATTGCTAAGGTGCAGGGTATAATGCGGTCGGTTTATATCGGCTGAAACGTTTTCACTCGTTTTGAATTTGTTTCCTTTATTTGTCTCGCATTTTCTAACAATTGACAACTATACGAGCGTATCAATTACTTCTGGCTTATAAATCTAGTACGTCGTATGTCCACATTTTACGTTAGGTAATTTCAAATTTTCATTGAACGTTTTCAATTATTATATCACTTGAATTTTTATATTTCGTACTGGGAATTATTTTGTTCGAAAATGAATTTTTAAGTGAATCGTGAATGCGATTAGTTTTAGTATTAATTTTAGATTTATATTGCATTAATACTAAAAAATTTTTATTTTATTCTGGGAAAAAAAATGCTTACTTAAAAATAAACACCTTATATTCTTATAATAAAATGTTTATATGTTTGTAGCATTTTAAAATTCATATATAATAAAAAAATTCCTTAAAGAACGACAATATGAAATATAAATTCTTAAATATATTTACTAATACATAAGCATAATATATATAAATATGTATATTCACTTATGCATACATACATATATTACCTTTGTCATTTAACCATACAGCTAATTTATAATATGCTTCATCCATTAAAGTAATAGCACCAGCTAGAAGAACTTTTGGTATCACACTTAAACATGAAATTATACTGCCTTCAGGAAGTTTTGAATCCCACCAATCCTGTAAATTATTCGTTGACATTGACATTTTGACATTGAAAATGTTTCTCAAAATAATAGAAAAAAAAAAACATATTTTTTTTTTTTTTTTGAATAATATGAAAATTAAATAAATAAAAAATAAAGAAAATAAAAAAAAAGAAAGATAGTGTTGAAGCAAAATAACAATAAAAAGAGGGAAGTATTGTTAAAACAAAAACAAAAATTGTTGGAAAAAAAAATTATTTTCTTGAATGAAGAAAGAAAAATTTTTGATATTATATGCGAGTAATATTAAAAAATTTTTAATAAAATATTAAAAATATTAAAAAAAGTAAATTGTATAAAAAATATTAAACTAAAATTAAATTTAATATTAAAGTTTTTTATTATAAAATCGCAAAAGAAAAAAATATTTTTTTGTCTATTACAAAATCAATTTAATTTTGTTTTTGTAATGTTAAACAAAAAGCCAGAAAGAAAAAGTGAGAGAGAGTATATTTACGGAAAATATATTATATAATAATAAAATTATTGTAAGTTGAAAAATTTAAGCAAATATTATTGTGGTTCTCACATTTTTTAACTTTAAATATTCTGCATAGTATTTGAATTTAATGGGGAAAACTATAAAGGAAAAATTTATATACTAATTTACATTTTGGATTTTTATTTACAAATGATATTTGAGTTAAATACGATTATTTTAATAATTATACTTCAATGTTATTTACGATATGCTTTTATATATAAATTTTACATGAATTATAGTTGAAAAGGTTATTAAAATAATAAAAGAACATAATGTCTCATATAACTATTTCACTGTTACTGTTTCACTGTAAATGTTTCTATTCAGTTTCATATGAATTTTTATTTAGAAAAAGTTAATATTATTTAAAATGAAATAAAATGAAGAGCAAATGTATAATAGTTTTTATAACGATATTAAAATTTATACGATTACATGAGAAATATTATTCAATATTATATTTAAATATTGGTAGAAAGTGTTATACAATGAATATGATAAAAGCAAATTTACATAATGCAATTGTAGAAGAATGTTATACTTGTAATATGAGGGTCCATATGAAATTAGTTTTATTTATATATGAGGAAGAATAAATTTTATATTTTTTTTTAAAATATTTCAAATATTTAAAATATTTTCTTAACGATAATTATTAAGGGATCATTATGGAAAATTATTCTTATTAAAATATTTTACAATTGATTTTTGGCATATTTCCAAAAAAGATTTGAAAGGTATGTAACAAATGTTGTATTCTGTTCATCCGTTTGTCAATCAGTCTATCCGTACATCAGTACATCATTCGGTTCGTCTATTGACGCAATTTCTCCCCTCTTTAAAATAAAAATATTAAATCTTTTATATGAAGCAATTTATAAATCCTATAAATATGGAAAGTTCGGGAATTCTGGCATAAAAAATTATAAGCGAATGTCATGTTAAGAAATTCAATCCAATTTTTCGCTTATTTTTAGAAAATGTTTTTTTACGGTAACGTAAAAAATAGTTAACAATTTTACATTATCACACTAAATTTTTTATTTTAAGTCCTCTTCCTCTCGAATTATTACCTTTAAAATTCGAATATCCTATACTAAACTCTTACGAATATCCATATTAATGAAAGTTTAACAGTAATCATCCTGTCAGCTAAAACATCCTTATTTTATAACTCCATATTGATGAAAAATTGGATCCACCTATAGGCGCATAGGTTATCCATTATGTGGAACCACTTATGCTCTACAAAAACTATATTAACTAAATTAATTATCGATAGAACTCAACCTTATATTATTATAATGGAGTTTTCGAAAATTACTGCTCTAATATTTCTCTTAAAATATGCGGCAGTAAGAAAATAATTTCAAGAGGCAGTTTTCACTACTACAAGCAATTTCACTTAAATTGTTAAGGAAAAATGAGCCATTTTATAAATCAAAGCTGAAATTAAAATCTATTGAACTCGAAATTTAATTAAAAAAATTGAATTTAATATTTTTAATCTTATACGCCTAATTAAATATCATAAATTGCATTTTCATATTAAATTGAAAACTATATTTTTAAAAATGTGAATCTTAAATCTTTACAACTATCTAAAATAATTTAAATGCAAATCATTTTAGAGCAACCCTTTAGTGCAAACCTTGAATATAAATGATTTTCGTGCAACTCTTTTCGATTTCTATTACCCTGTATTGCCAATTTGCACACCATTGGATTAAAATTCATTTTTTTGGGAAGATTCACGAAATAAAACATTTTATACAATATTATTTACATAGTGTAATTATAAGAAGATTGCCCAATTTTTTTTAAAATTTAATTATTTTATTTTTACATTGGAGTAATACTCGTATTAAATTACTCTTTTTAATCAAATAAAATTTTCAATTTTAAATTAATTATAAATTCTCTATAAAAATGTTTTTATTTCATATTTTTAATTGAAAATTTCGATTTATCGTATATAAGTATACGTACGAGTACATACATTACAAATTTAAATATTACAGATAGGAAATGTGTATATATGTATAAATTCGTATGAAAATATAAATTTAATGAAAAAGAAATGTGTGTAAATTAATAAGAAAAAAAACAAATATATATACATATATATAGGAGATAAAGATACACAATTTTTTAGGAAAATTATAAAAAAAAAAGAAAGAAATGTCGATTTTTGAGTGTGAGAACCTGATTAACATTGCACATGCAATATAAAAATCCCGTAACAGGTAATCGATGATCGAGCCAATCCTGAAATAAATGGAAAAAAAATCGAAAAAACAGAAAAAAATATGTGTTTTTTTTTTTAAAGTGCATTTTTTTTTTTATTTAAAAAGCCAATTCAAAATTAATATTAAATTAAAATTAAAGTTAAAAAATAAAAATTGATTGAAAAAAATTATTGGTGAAAATTAAAATAAATAATAAAAAATTTAAAAAATAATTATTTTGCCGAAGCGGAAAAGCTTTTTCTTCTACATAATTAAAAAAAAAAAATTAATAAAAATTCAAAAATTTTACTAATAATTTTTGTACTAGTAAATCGGAAATGGCAAACTAAGATCAAATATTGTCAATTGATAATTTGATTTTAGCCCTACAATTATGAGCATTATTTTAATTCGGTCAGTCTAACAGCTACACAGTATGTATTGTGAACAAAGCTTCATGAACAAGTCAACTGAAATTTTTCTTTAAATATTACACTGATGAACAAATTTTTTTACAATTTTTTGAATTTAATTTAAATTTTAAAATAAATTAAATTTGTATTAAAAAAACAAAATATGTAGATAGTTGAAATTTATGATTTTTAAACGTTTCTTAAAATTAAAAAACAGCCAATTGTATAATGGCCATATTGTTAAAATTTTTATCAATTAATTCGACATTACATTCGACGTTAGTTTAATATTTCCGAATAAAGCTTTTAACAAATAAGTATGATTATAAATAGAATGCAATTTTTCAAGTTGTATTTTGGCTGTATAAATTGTTTGTGCGAGATCCTTAATATTTAATTTGGAATTATAAAATTTAACGATAAACAATAGCGACATCATTTTCCAATTTGAAAACTACAATATTAAGAACATTGCAATCATATTGAAATAATTACGAATATATGTATTCCATAAGGAATTCCGACAATAATTATTACAAAATAAATTTCCTAATTTTTGCCTTTAAATTAAATGTATATGTTTTAGATGTATTTTTTAGGTGTATAACGATTCCAACCTCACCAGTCTATGCATAAAATAAATTGTTAGAACTTAAAGTTTTTAATCCTTAAGGTTAGTTTTCATTCAATGTTAGGATATTTGGTCGAACAAATTGTACTAAATTGGATAAAATACAATGCTATATTATGTCAAACTTGGTAGTTCAGAGATAGTTAATGAATTAAATTAGTTTTATTTAACGTATAATATATAGATATGAAAAATAAATTTAACCATGTTACTATATTAGTCTTAATGTACAATAAAATAAGAAACAAAAATTTAACAAAATTCGAGTAATTGGCAATTGTTAAATAAAATAGATGTATAACAAAATAAACACATTGTCGTTCCCAAAAAAAAAACAACGCGATAGCAACTTTAAGTCAACAGAAAAAAGTAATTTTGTTTCACAGTTTCAAAAGGTGATTATTTCAATACTTAACGCTTCGACATTAAAAACAATTACATAACAATAGCATTCGATTACTATTTTATGTTAGGCGCCCAACCTTTCTCTATTCATGTATGAAAATGAAACATTTTGGACTGGGTTTTTCAAAGATTTTTCAATTCTTTTTAAAACGATATTATGCCAAAAATGCACTTGTCATAATCTTTAAAAAAAACTCAATGCAATTAGGATCCATTATGTCGAATTTGCCATTAAAAGTCCTGATATTTCAACACTGATTCTTTATCCTAACAGCTTCACATTTTAAAATTATTTAAATTTTTTCGGTAGTGTTGTTAATTAACCCTAAATTTCCTAAATGAAGTTTGTTTATTTATATCAATTTGTCCATTATTTATCATAATAAATTCTGTTATACATAATCAATTTTCTGTCGATGTTTAAGTCGATTCTAAATGATAAATCTTTTATAACATCGTAAAATATAATTTTAAATAAATTGAACAATAATTGGTTAAAAATTCAATAATTTTCTTTTGTGATCTGTAGATCGCTGACAAATAAAACTAAAGATTTTCTTGAATTCTGATTTTTTAGTCTTAGAGGACAAATTTTAGTTAATGTTATACACTTAAAATTTTGTTCACGGAATTATGGTATTTTTATGCATTATACGTAAACTCTTAACAATATACAGGTTTATATTGTATATATATTTGGTTATATAAGCAGGCATTAAATTCGAATAAAAATCTTAAAAAAAATATTTTTATATCATAAACTTTTATACTCGTATGTGTGTAGAAGGAAAAATTTAAGAAATTTGTGAAAAAAAAATTTAATAATTCCCTTATCGACAATTTATAAAAAAATTTTTTGCAACGAGACTCTTTTATTAATGATGTTGTAAAAGATTTTCGGAAATTTTATAAAGAAATTTATTTTTTATCTCAAAAGTTTAAATATTATAAAAATTTTTATAAATTATGCTCCAAAAGACTGCATTACATTGGGACTGCATTAAACTTTTTAGTTCGTTTTGGTTTTTTCTTGTTCTTTTTTCTATATATATAGTTAGGAAAGTAAATATGAAAAATTAAATGAAAATTTTATTATTTTGTGGAAAATATTTTTAAAGGAACACAGAAAATTTCTTATTCAGTATATGAAATTGGTGAAAATGCTGTTTACTTTAACAATGTACAAAATGTTGTTGTTTATTTTCACATATTGTGTAAGTGAAATGATTCCATTTTGTATTGAAATACGAAATATTTTGCAACAAAATCTTTGGTAACACTTACTAAACACAGGAAATTCTTAATTTAACATTTATGTTAATGAAATTGCTTATTTATTGGAATAGTCACTGTACGATTTATGGCCAAGAGCACACAAAAAGGAGAACCTTTAAAAATAAATATTTTAATCAATTAGAAATCATATGAAATTGGAAACTGAAAATTTATTTGTCAAATTAGCTATTTTCTTGCAAACTGTTATACGCGATGATTCAAAGATATAAAAGTTACCCATATTCTTTTGAACACCCATATTCTTTTCTGATACTTTGTTTGTTACGTTCGATATCGTTGAAAAATATTTTGGTTTTCAGTATAAAATTTCAAATTTCGAAATTGATTTTATTCAGAAAATGAGTGAGCATATGAGTGAGCATATGAGCATGTATTGCTTATATTTTTGGATATAAGCATGTGAACAATAGTCAAGTATTATAATCTTAACTCAATACTCTTTAAATTTTTCCAAATTAATACTTGAAAGCTTTAGTATCTTAGTAGTAATGGGCTGACATTCAAAGATTATAAAAATATTTTTATTCGAGAAGCCTTTTCGTTCTTTCTGAGTGCTCATTGTTAAAAATTTTATAGTAACACTTTCCTACTTCATTGTAGACGTCAGAACGTCAGGAAATAATTATGTTAATTACAATTTTTAAAAATAAAAAAATTAATAAAGTATATGAATTGTTCATTTATACTGTGAATGAATTTTTGTAAGCACTTCTTCCACGACAAAAACAACAACGATATTTCATATACATATTTCCAGAAATATTTCAATATCATTTCACATCAATGAATATTAGTAAAATTTCTATTAATTTTTAATAAAATGAAATGTACAATTCACAAATGCAATTGTAAGGATCTCAAACAATACAACATGAAATTGACCTACTTGAAAAGCAATCGAAATTTTTTATTTTAATTAACAAAAATTTATTAAAATAAAATTTTTATTTTGTAAGTTTGAAAGCTACAATTTTTAATTTTTATATAAATTTTTTGTATTTCGATTGCTATTAAAATTTGCAACTACTTAAAAAAATTATATTTTATCTAGTTTTATTTTATTATGTAATAAAAGCATTCATAATAATTGTAATAATAATTTAGCTAACAATAATTCTGCAATAATTCTAAAATGAAGCTTCTATAAAAAATATTTTTTAAAATATAAATATAAAATTAATTTAAATATTAATTAAATGTTACCTGAAATCTTAACATTAAAAACATCACAATAAAAACAATTAATAAACAAACTCCTATTATAGGAAAGCTAACAAAATAACGAAATGCTCTTTGTTTCCATATTGGGGCATCTTTTGGTTCTAAACGCCCTGTAACACAATTTTCCACTAATGGACCCTATATATAATATATAAAAAATGAGAATATTTAATAAAATTCAAAATTATAATACATACTTTTATAAAAAGGAACAAAGAGAAAGAATATCTAAATTTTATCTATGTATACTTATATAGAAAAAGTAAATTCTAAATAGTTTAACAGTTTAAAAGTAATTAAATTTTGTTTATAGATACAAATATAAATAAATTAAATTTAATTCAAATTAAATTTCATAAACTTACTTTAAATAATGGTCTTGGTGGTTCTAACATTTCTGGTGGTGTAGATAATGTACCCCAACGAAATGCCAATTCAACAGAATATCTTCTCCATGCTTCTAAATATAGAGAAGCCCAAGCAACATTAAATAAAGAAAATAAAACATGACCCATATCTTTAATTGTTTGTCCACGGCCATATAAACCGGCCCATAATATTGTACCAAAAACGGCAGGAACACCTAAAGCACATGTATAATGACCTAACCAGGCAAAATATAAAGCCACTTTAACACCAAAATATTCAGCTATATCATCTAAAATTTGAAAGTTTTTGAAAACAATTTGGTTAAATTTTATAATATAAAATTTTTACCTAGAGGTTGTGGAGCAAAAATTTTTTTAACCCAATTCATTTGTAAGCGTGTCAATGCACTTGTTTCGTGAAGTGGAAAAACTTGTAATATAAGTCCAGTCTCTTGCCATGCTGCGACTGTTTTTTTTATATAATTTTTAATATTTTTATATATTTTTAATATTATATTTTATAAAATATGTAAAAAAAATTTGTTTTTATTACCTATACTTTGACCTTCTTCAACACTTGCTCTACCTTGTAATGCATCTAAATCTGTTGGTCCAGCTCTAAGACCTTGTAACATTTGTAAAACTAACCATTGACGTTCTTGGGACGTAAATAATGTTGTACTACCGTCATTATTTTTTATTTGTTCAAAACAATGACATTCACGTGTTGTAAATTCTCTTAAGGCACCACCTAAATCGTTGCGCAAACGCTTTGGAAGTCTAGCTTCTTCAGCGGCTTTATAGAGGCTACAATATTTATAAAAATTAATATAAAATAATTTTCTTTTTATTATTAATTATTTATCAAACATTAAAAAAAAATTTACTCACGTATTAATTGGAGCACTTATATAAAAAGCTGTTCGTTTTGTACTTTCATGTGATTTGACATTGGCAGCAAGGCCAAGTCCAGACGGTGGTTGAGAACGTATTCGTGCTAGAAGCCATCTTAAAGCTTCATCAGGCGCTTGTTCTACATTATAAATTTAAGTATTTGTTAAAATTTGATAAGAAATAGGATTTTCAAAAAAAATTCTTTATAATTGAAAATAGTATTAATTTGGAAATTTCTCCCTATCTCATAAGAAAAACACATTATATGCTAACGACATCTACCAAAAAAAATTAAAGTTGTAAAAGCAAATGATGTATATACTTTACTTTACGAATTTTGTGGCACAAACCTCGTATTAAAATTTAGAACATCAATTCATAATGACGCTGGGGGCAACATATTTCATGAATAAATTTTCGCCTCACACTAATTTCCTTCCCTACCAATAATTAAATATCTTTTATTTAAAAGCCTATTCTCTCAATCAAGTTTTAATAAAAATTTGGCATATTATTGGTGTTAATTTTTGAAAGGATTGATTTCTTTGACACGCCTGGCTTTAATTATGTATTCCTACCTATACAGTATACGCATATATATAAAATATGTGTATGTGCCTTAAAATTTAGCCTTCTAGCCTCATAATTGTCACTTTTTCAACAATATTCATGTTTGTTTGTATGCATGTCATATATAACGCAAATGAATTAATTAAAACAAATTTTTATTTTTACTTCTTTATTTTATTAAAATAATTCACAGAGTGTGTCATTCATTTGTGAATCTAAAAATACATAAGAAATTCTTATTAACGTGCTGTAACTATTTGATAAAAGAATTTCACGAACAACATTTTGTTTATTTTTCAAATTATCCGAAATTTAAAATTTATGGAAACATTTTGAAAAATTTTAGATAAAATGTCAGGTTCACAAATTTTAAATCAAGGTTAAAACTTTAAGAACTTTGAAATACGAAATGCTTCCCTTTGCATGTTCTTATAAATTTTCATAACACTACATTGCATCTTATATAAAGCAACCTGTAGAAATTGTTATCAAAATAAATATTTTTTACATTTTTTAAATGACATATGCAACAACATTTCGTGCACGTCACTAAAGTTTTCAGACAAAACTTAAAAGTATTTTGTATTGCTTTGTTTGTGTTATTGTGGTTGATCACATTATTACTTACACCTTATATATTTCATATATTTTTTGATAAATTACCTGGAAATTCTATAACAACGTCACATTGTGTAGGAATTTTATTTAACCATAATCTTCTCGGTGTCATTAAATGTCCAGCATATGGAACTTTTCTTCTTAACTGTCTGGAAGCTGTAAATAAAAAGAAAAAGAATAAAAATAACAATAAAATTCAAAATGATTAATAATTTCAAATAAAAAAGGATGTTGTTTAATATATATGAAAGGATTAGAGTAAAAAAATTGAAATGAGCGCAAAAAAAAAAGAGAATGAAAAATTATTTTGCAAACAAATTTCTCCCCATACAATAGTAAATTTTTTTTTCTATTCACCGAAGAAAAAAAAAGAGCATAAGTAGAAAATCAAAAATGAAAATTGCAAAACAAATTTTTCCTCATTTATGTGAAAAATTCATTTAAGAAAACATGTGTTAAATTTCATTATTACATTGTTACACCAGGAAAATAGCAGGTTTACCGTTGATAAGTTAATGTTATAAATGACAAAATGATTGATGAAATTAATAAAATATCACCTGTAACATTTCGACAACAATATAGATTTAAAATTTAAGGGAGGAAGAAGATAAATTAGTATATTTTTATATAATATTGGTAAACTGTTATACTTGCAAATTATCATAAAGTGAGAATGAAGAATTTTGTTATACATTTAATTTTCATGAGTTTTTCATTTAATGAAAGTTTTGTTTACTGTTTTCAATCACAATTTATGTAAGATTTTGTAGATGGGGTCAATGTGAATTCATTACATTGTTTTCTATAAAAAATAATAAATTCATATAAGATGATAAATCATAATTTGAAGCTTTTATTTAACAATAGCTATGGTATCTACAATATGTTCGAAATGATTTAGTTATTTTGCCATAATACTGAGGTTGAATTGAGTTAAGTGTCATGTTAGTGCTATGACAATTGTATTTGATCAACCTAAAATGTAATATACGTAATTCAATTAATCTTGAAATAATATTAAATTTTTTGGTTCTGTGGATTACATAAGCCACTCATCCCATTTCTACCCCAGGGTACTAATTAATTTCAATTAATTAATAAGTACTGAATTCACGAAACCGTTGTAAAAATTAATTACTTAAGTAGTTAGTAAAACTGATCAACAGCACAAATTAACAGATCGGCATCTCGTGGAAAATAGTGTCTTTACATTCCTTTAACAAGGAGAATTTCGCTGAAATCGTTTAGCTATATTTTCGATCATATGAAAAAATTGATCCGATCGTAAAATACCTGGTTTTGTTGTATGTATTGCGATTCGTAGACAAACACTAGTGACTAGCGATTCGTAGTAGAAAAAATCAATCTGAAAAACTTGTTTTCATAGATTAATTTTCATTTAACTATGCATGCAATCCGTATAAAACCATAATCCTATTAAAATTTAATATTATATTAAACAAATTTGCATATTATAAAATATTCACAATTTTTATTACGGCCATTTATTTTTAAATTTTTTATTAAAGCATTTAAATTTTTTACAACCTATTTGTATAATATTGACTATATAATTTTGAATAGTTTCAAAGGGTTATTCACCCATTCACATTTACACTGTTATAATTTGTTAGTTCAATAAATTATATAATAAACTCACTCATTTCTCTTGCAATTGCCATTATATTATTTTTTTGCCGAGAAAATTTTTTAATTGTACTACATTAGAATTTTAAATTAACACGTTTTTATATACATATACATACAATATGTTTGTACAATGTAATATATTCGGTATATAGAAAAAAAAAAGTCTCACCCTAAACTACATGTTCAAGGAATTATTTAAATGTTTAATATAAATAATATGTCGTGATAGAATGCAATTAAATTTGGCGACTTGACTATTTAAAATCTATATAAATCTTAAGGTACACAATCAACAATTATATGTATAATTTTGTTTAACTTACACAATAATTATAATTACGGGGCATGTTTCGCATATTATTAATGGAGGCATACTATATAGTAATGTAGTTGAATTGAAAATAAGTGTATTTAAGTAATATAGTGTTAGTATGTGTTCAATTGTGTGAATGATTAATATTGCAAATAAATTTGTTAAAAGTTTATTCGTCCATGAGAGCTGATAATTTATTTATTTAAAAATTGATTCATAAGATTACTATGCTTACTTGAATTGATTCAAATGAATTTTCTTATTACATAGTTTTATTGATATTTGAAAGCACAACAAACTCTTCGCGGATCATAAGAAAATTTTATGGTATTTGAAAAAGATAAATTGAAATCAAATTATTTTTTTTTAAGCAAACGAAAACTGATTTAGTTTTTTTTATCCTCTAAAATTTTTTTCTTATTTTGAATAACTCTACTTACTTATATACATATAGAATTTTTTTGATGAAAAATCAAATGGGATTTATCGATAATTTTAATAAGAATCAATTTGAATATTTAAGAAAATGTCATTATATACGAATAATGAGTAGCATATCGGCATCCAATTTGAAAAATCCTACCGTATATTGTAGTTGTAAATAGACCCTGAAAGTTTATCTAAATACAGGTCCAGTATGGGCTACCTTTATTTATCAATGTAATTTGAATTACCAAAAAATGTATAGATGGCTAATTATTTTTCATAATTGTAAATGCCCTTAGAAGTCTTCTCAAATACTTATTAATAATGAACATTTGTACTTTGCATACTTTTAGGCTTCGTATATTTTGATCATGTTTTTATATTTGGAATATATTTAGCTTCGGAAATCAAGACATCTGGAATTGTATTTAAATCCGAAAATTGACATTTAAGTGAAGTTTTCATGCTTTACAATATTTTCGAATTCGATTTTGTATAGTTGTATGCAAATATTGTTTTCACATATGTATGTGTTAGTTTGAAAAAATAATTTTATGAGTTCATAAACTTTTAGAGGTACTCCTTGAGCCTATCAAAATCTAAATTAAAAAAACTATTTATGTGTATAGTTTCATGCGGCTGTTGTTGCTTAAATAAAAGGTTGTCATATTTCCAAATTGTTTTGTATTTATTTTTTCACTAAAAAAATATGCTAAATTTTATATACGCATAGCAATTTATTTTATTTGTCACATTGTCATTATTAAATAAAAAATTCTTTTATAATCATTTTAAAATTGAATTCAAATCTTTTATCCTACAACTCTTTTTATAATATATACGTTTCCCATATATGCAAATATCAAGTACATTTGCAAATTTTTGAGCCTTAACCCTATAGAAGATGTATAATTTACGAAAAAAAAAAAAAAAATCCTTATCGAAAAACGATTTGGGTTAAGATTTTTATAGGACAAAACTAACAATAAAAAAAAAAATGTAAAACATATTTGGTTCGAATGCCAAAAAATTGCAATGTATCAGCCCTTTTTTGTTTTCATTAAAAATTTAAAATATTTGAAATAGAACATGAAAAACAACAAGCGTTCAATATATGACAACAATGGAATATACACATGTAAAATTTTGTCGATAAACCCTATAGAATGCTTTAATAAAAGAGAAGAAAGGATTTTTTTTTTGGTTTATTTTTTCTATCACCCTTTTGTGCTCTAGGTTAAAAAGACAAATAAAAAAAAATGAACGAAAATTCTTAGCAATAAAATCGATTACTTAATTTTTATCTTTTGTCAAGGACATATTGTTAAATTGTGCTCAAGTTTTCAATAAAAATTCATACAAAGAGAAGAAAGAATTTTGGAATTCAAAGGCTTAAAGAAAGAATTTTGAATTTTTAGGAAAAGCCTCGTCTTTATTAAATATGTATGTTAATTCCTTATCGAATTGCAATTTCCACAGATAACGCAATTTAAAATTATCAAGAAGTTGCAATAATATGAACTTTAGTTTGAAAGTAACAAAACTCTGGCAAAAAATCCGAGACATTCTAAGTGTCAATAATATTTTTCTGTATGTTGTGCAAAAATTTTCTTAATTTCAAGAAAAGAAGGAAAATAAAATGGATTTAAACAAAATCTTCTAAAAAGTTCAATCAAGAATTTGGAAAAAGCGAAGACTTAAATAAATAAAATAAAAGTTAGGTAAAATTAAAATTAAATTAGAAAGAGCGTTAAAAGCTGCTAGTATATTAATGATTTATATAAGATTACCGAAATTGCGTTCAATAGATTCCTGTGTTCAAAAGAATTCTTAAATCATTGGTAAACAGTTTCCGGTATTTTAAATGAAAACTGCACATGTGTAATGGATTTTTGTAAGAAGTTTCCTAATTAAATGTGTAATTTGATTCCAGAGTTCGAATTTTCCGGTATTGACGAACAAAGATGAATCTAAGATCAAAGATGTAATATTTTTTAATAAATCAATCGAAATAGAAACAAACAAGTGAACAATATATAAAAAGTATGCTTGCATTTCTCTATTTAAATATTAGAAAATTTAGAAAATTAAATGTCCCCTCATATTATGTTAGCTTTATTGTTTTATTTTCTAATATTGTATTGCTCTTTTTTTTCTTATTTTATAATCAAATGTTATTTATTTTAAACGATTCTTATTTTCCATTTAACATTTGATATCGAAAATCAATTTAAATTCCAAATTTAAGAAATTTTTCTCGGAAAATTTAGATATTGAATAACCATATACATAAATATTTATATACACAGTGCCGGATCTAAAATATATGTAATGTAAACATATGCGATGAGCAAAGGAAATCAGGGGCACAATTATTATGCGCAATTGGAAATGTTTATTGCATATTCTCCATTGCTATGAAAGCAGAGGAGCGTACTTTTTGGAAATCGTGTAGGGCGCCGAACAATACGGAACCGGGAATGTACATACATTTGTAAATTTGTGTATATATAATGAACATATCTACATTTTTCATATATTTATAAAACATTTTGATTTTAACAGGTTTATGTTTCTCAAAAAATTTAAAATTTTCATTGTATCCAATATGTAGAATTTTCAATTTTTGGTATATTGAAAAATGATATTGACTTGAATTGCTTACAATTAATTTTCAGGTTACGTAATTTTATTTTAGTATTATGAAATATTTATTGAAATAGCAATAGCTATATTTAGATCTCTACACCATATAATTATTGGTTTGATAAATGTAAAATTTTATTATCAAGCTTGTATGTAAGAAATTGAAAATTATTTGTGTATAAATTTTAAGAAATTTTTTTTTGGAGCACTTGTAATGGGTATATTATATTTCATGTTTAAAGAAATACGAAATGGTTTTTAGCAGCAATATGCAATTTTCAATTTTATTATAAATGTTCCAATATTTCAGTAATTAATAAAATTTTGAAAATCTATTTATATAACTACATAGAAATGCTTGAAGTTTAAGGTCATTCACAATACATGTGCCCTCATAATCATTATTCTAAGTTTCTTCATAAGCTAATGAATTTTATTAGAAAAGTTGCTAACAGTTAGAAGAGTTGTTACAAGATTTCATTGCAATAGGTGTTAAATTGCATTAAATTGCAACCCCGATTATTTAGAAACGCTATTTTAATTATGTATAACAAAATTGTTAGAATAATGTTTATAAGGTGAATGAAAAAATTTATGTATTGTCGATGTCCTTGAATTCAATATAAATAAATTTTGTTTACTAATATAAGATTTTTGTAACTTTATTAAACTTGTTAGAATTTGGAGTCTTAATTTTAATTTGGAGCGTTGCAATTACGAAGGCTGTTCATAATTACTAATGATGTGCAGCGTATAAATTAAGAAAAATGTAAAATTATAAATCTTAAAGAGATTTTCAATAGGATTTTCAAATGTCCGACTTAAAAATTATTCACATTAAATCCGTAAATTGCTTTCTTTAAATTATAAGTTCTGTTTGTACACAATTCCAGATATTAATTGTACCTGCAGAGTTGAACATTCAAATGTAATTTTTTCAAGGATATGCTCTTAAAATTGTTCTGCTTATTTATATTTAAATTTGTTTTTGAAGAAAAAAATTATTTCAAAGACGATTTTTTTTTTGGAATTGTACGTGAAAAAAGAATTTTTAATTTTAAACAAAAAGAATTTTAGATTTGCTCCTGTTTTTTAGCTTTAATTTTTTTACTCTTACTTTCTGTATATAAAAATTTTTTTTCTTACTTACAAAATATTTTTTGAATTAAGGATTTTTAAAGTGCAAAGATAAAAGAATTCAAATAGGTTCACAATTTTTTTATCTTTTTTTTGTTTTTACAAATTTTTTCTCTTCTATATATTTGAATTGTGTACCTACAGAATATAGCGGGTATAACTTTAAAAGTTTCCATATATGTTGGTATGAAAGTGTTCTATAAAACTACAAAAACAAAAGGGCACGGAAATTATGGAAAAAGGAAAAGTTAAAGGAAAAAAAAAACGAAAATAAATTGGTATGACGTCAAATTATTTGCTTTTTTTTTGTTTTTTATTATATTTTCGCATACATAATGAAAAATATTAAAATTAATATGAAAGGTAAGACGAAAAATACACTGTTAAAAATTATTACTATTGTGAATATTCTGATATATTTTGCCTACAATGTTAACATGCTAATATTAGTAAGAACAAATTTTACTGAACCAAGTATTAAGCACCCAAAGGATATACAAAGAGGAAAAA